TATATAGTTTCCCCCTCCTCTTTTAACCAACCCCAGACAGAAAAAAAAAAGGGGGATAACATACCCATTTTTATTCCTCTCTTTTGCCAATTTACACAATCACTCCTCAATAATTTATACAAATTCTATATAGAATTATAATTAATTGAAATTACAAAAATTTTATGTATAAAAACTATATAATTTTTTTTGTTAATGGGGAGTTGCTCATCTTAAAAAAAACAATATTAAAGAAGCTAGACTTCAACTTCTAATAATTATAGCTCATCTTATAGAGGATGTTCTAGTGTAGTTGTAGATAAGTATATAAACAAAAGGTAGATGGAAGACGTAAACCAAACAAAATTAAATTTGGAATCATAAAATCAAAAGCAAGGAGAAAACCCAATTTAATAATGTTAATAATAATAAAATCATTATAGTTTATAACAAACCAATGAAAATATTTACAATTAGTAAAGAGAATAAAATTTTTAAAATGAAAAGGCATGTATTCAAGAAAATTAAAAATAATTTCATTCTTAATAATTTAATCAATTGAACAATTAAGATCAGCCAAATGATTAATAAAATAAATCTCAAGTATAATTTGTAAATCAATAATACTATATTGAAATGTAATAGATTAATAATCAATTAAATCAATAACATAGTTAACACTAAAATTAAGCCTATTATTAGAATTTATAACCATATTATCAATAAAACTAAAATTATTTTTAATACCAAGTATAGAACTAATAGCAAATTTTATATCAATAACATCAATATTGTCTTTAATACTAAAACCCTTTTATTGCTTAACATAATCCTCCTTATTACAATTATTAACTATAAAATCAATTTGGCTACTTTTATCCTCAATATGATCAAAATATTTATTCACAATAATAGTAATCCACTATTCAATAATCAAATCAAGAGATATACAATAATAATGACTAAATTTATGAACAATAAAATGGATAAAATAATTAATTAGAATCTTAATAGTGTTAAGATTTATAAAACCCCAAATAAAAGTCTTGTAAAGCTAAATTGTTTAAAAAATACAGTTAAAGAAATAAAAAATCATAAAGCCAATAACATCAAAATAACTCAAAATTAGTTTTTGCTCCTTGGGTTTGGCCAAATGGTATCATACCATATATAATTGATGGATCATTTACATTCAGAATGAGAAAATATTTATATTATTCAATCTAAGAATTCGAAAAAAAAACACCAATTCGATTTTAACTACTGAGTGATCCTACGACATGCAATGGATCATATGTAAAATATTATAAAAGTTTAAATGATTAAAGTTTTACATTAAATGCTGGAAGATTGACAAAAGAGATAGCTCAAGCAAAAAAAATATCAAATTATTTAGAGAATCCTGTCTTTTTAAATGAATTAGCACCTTATGGAACGTATCTTCATGAGACTATGCATATATTGGGCTTCTTACATGAATAATGTCGATAGGATAGAGATAATTATGTTTGTATAAAAGATTTTGGTGAAAATCCTGAAATTTCCTATTAATATTTGAAGATGGGCTATATGATTGGTGATTATGATCTTCAATCAGTAATGCATTACCCCTTAAATGAAAAAATGTAACTTAAGAGTTAAAGTATAATAAAAAATAGTCATTTCAAAATTGGATAAAGATTAAAATTAAGTGATGGGGATGTAAAAGCCATTCAATTAATTTATGGAAATAGTTAATGTACCTACGATGTAGGCCTACCTAATTAAACATATTTTAGATGCATCACATGTGAGAATAAGGAGAATGATTTTCAAGTTTGTGAGACTTGTAGTCTAATATGCCATAAGGGTCATAACTTAATCTTTCAGAATAATCGTAGTGAATAGTGCAAGTGTGGATTTTACAAACACAAAAATTAGAGGAAGTACAATCCTTTTTAATGGCAATTTTAGGATAAAAAATTATGATCATATTGCATAAACACAAATATATTCTTAATTTATTATATAAAGTCTAAAGAATTGTAAATGTAAATTCTTATTCTGATGTTAAAAACTTTGAAAAAGATTTCTATACAACTTGAAACTTGAAAACAAGAATTTTGTTTTTATTCCAAAAAATTGAATATTTTAAAGTAAATATACTTAATAAATCATTTCAAAAAAATGAGGGATAAATCTTCAAAAATTTGAGATTTTTTTGTTGTGTAAAAAATAATTATACATGTTGATGTTGATGAATTGTCAAGGTGATTCAATAAGTGAGATTATAGAACATTAGAAATAACCCTTCTAACATTCTTTCAAATAATGAAAAAACAAGAAATTTTTGTTATCAGAATTTATCAATTTCATATAATCTAGAATAATTTCTAAATAAACTATTAAGACATATATCTACAAAGTGAGAATGGTATATTTTGGGTAACTACAACTAAATAACGAAATAAAGGGCATCTGGAATGTGCTTAATACAAAATGGGATGTAAAAACAAATTAATAAAATCTAAAGAAAATTATATAAATGATAAATTCATACTTCATCGAATATCAAATGAATATTTACTAGAAGTGGGGAATAAATTTGATATTACCAATTTTTGATTTTTTTTGATGATAAGAAGATGAGATTTATTATTCAATTCTGTAAACTTAGTAAAAATTGAAAAACCTAAGAATTGTTTTAATCAAGAATAAAGTTGATTATAAAAGAGGTGAGATAAAATTCAAATGAATGCAATTAATAATTGTCAGAATTTTCAAGTTAATTTAATAGTGAATCAAAATATTACAAAGTTTCTTTACATCTGTTCATTTATTATGTATGTCTTTGAATAATTAACTTGAAATTTGAGTAGTATGTATTTCCAGAGTTTTTGATTATAGGCAAAGATGTTTGGTAAAATTTTTATATCTTCTTCCACTTTGCTCAACTAAAGAAATTTAAGACCAACCAAAAAATGATTAATAATAACGAATATTTTTTATCCCTATAAAGTATCAATTTTTTTCTTAATTGCTTGGGGCTAATTAACTAATTTAAAATATGAAAAAAAGAAATAAATTTAATACTTTGCATACCTTGTGATCGAAACATCAAAATATTAAGAACAAATTTATAATTATCAAAGCTATTAGGAGTTTGTTGAATTCATCTGAGTAGAAAATCTAGGAAATAAATAATAGATGCATCCTACAAAACACAATTGATCAAAAAGTAAGGTATGCCTGTAGCCCTTAAAAGTAAGTAAAATAGAAATATTCAGCAATTTTTTGTCCTATCAAGAAAAAATAATATAACCAAAATACACAAAAAATTGAAATTTAATGTTTCATTTTGATACCTATATGAAAATAATTTAAATTTAATACTTCTTTGAATTGTCTTTATATACTTGATAACTGAAAATCCCAAATTGTATTTCAATAATATCATGAAAATTTTATACTTTTAGATTTGTATGTGTTGAGGAGCTAATGTTTTTTCTTCAATAATATAGAAATTCATAACTCAGATAGCAAAAAACTGTAAAACCCTATTAGAAATATTAAAACAAAATTATATATTCCAGTTTGTACTTATTTCCAAAAATTTCTCAATAATTATTAAAATCATAAAAGTCCAAATTCAATTCTAAAATTGAGCTTTAATAATTAAAATTTAAAAATTCATCAGAAAAGCTAATGATGAATAGAATAAGTTTCAGATGTTACTAGAGAACAATTGGTCAAATAATCACTTAGTATGAGCAACATATATTCTAAATAAAAATAATGAATAAAAAAAGCAAAGTAAAAATAAATAAGAAGAGAAACTAATATAAACCAAATAAGTGTCAGAATAAAATATGAAGAAATTTAAGAATTAAATTAGATTTAATCACAATATTTCAATAACTATTCTCAATTTTATTTTAAAAAACTATAATCTTCCCTTATATCTTCAAAGTAATGCTCAAAGCTGCAAAAACTTAACAAATTTTGTTTAGAAATAACATTTTTTAGTTCGCAGAGTTAGTCCTTTTCAAATAGATAGCAAAGGGTATTAACATACATATTGAATTCATTTTTTTTAATTGAAAGGGAAGGTGCTGGAGACCCTTCATTCTGTCTTGCTTGGGTAATTTTTCTGTCATTTAAATATAGTTTTACTTTTCTTCAAAGCAAATTTTTTTATATTATAATTGTTATTCCAAAATCATTTAAATTAAAAATAGTATTAAAACTCCATATATTAAAAAATATCATATTTATTTTGATTGTATTTTTATGTAAAATGACTTACCATTTTACTATCACTCTTTAAGCCTAAAATTAATGTCAAACTTAAATTATTTAAACACTAATTAATTATTTCATCATTTGGAGTTTTTTGTTTAAATAAAAGAAAAAATAATAATTATGCTAATTCAGTTAAACTAATATTTAATTTTTTTTTTGATTTTGTAACTGTCTTTAGTTGATATTTTTTAGAAATTCCACAAAAAACAATTACAATATAAAGTTATTATTATGACTTTTCTTAGAATTGCAATCTTTTAATTTAAAGTTTAAATCTAAATAATTGAGATTTATTGCAGAAATGGATAAATCTAATCATTTTTATAATATTAAAATTTATTTAATTCTTATTGTTAAATTAAAGGGATAAATTAATATTATTTTATGTAACTGGATAATTAAAAAATATGCTATAGGAAAGATTGAAGTAAAAATGATGGAGAAAATGTTAAATGTTTTCGCTTTAATTTCTATTCAATTATCAAATAAAAAATTTTATAATAATTAAATTCTTTATTAAAATATTTCTTTTATAAAATAATCACCCCGTCAAGATTATATTTTCGGCATATTAAGTGAATAGAACCTGATGGAAAATAATTATTTAAAGAGTTTACATTGAAAGACACTTTAAAATGAGAGAAATAATTACAATTCAAATTTGATAGGGAGGAATATAGGTTGGAAATGCATGTTGGGAATTGTTCTGTTTAGAGCATTAGATTTAGTCTAATGGTTAGATGATCAATTAACAAGTTATTGAAAAAGATGATGCATTGAGAACATTTTTTTCAGAATCTGATCATTAAAAACTAGTTCCAAGATCTTTATTTGTGAATTTAGAACCTACATTAATAGATGAAGTGAAAACTGGTAAATTCAAGGATATGTTAAGCCCAGAATAATTTGTTTCTGGGAAAGATGGTGCCGCTAATAATTTTGGGAGAGGTCACTATTCGATTGGCAAAGAATATGTTGATATATGTTTGGAGAGAATCAGAAAGCTTGCTGATAATTGTTCTTCAGTTTAAGGATTTATGATGTTCAATTCAGTTGGTGGAGGGACAGGTTCAGGTTTAGGTACATTATTATTAGAAAAATTATCAGTTGATTATTGTAAAAAATCTAGATTAAATATAAATATTTATCCATCCGCAGAAACTTCTGTTTCTATGGTTGAACCCTATAATTCTATTTTTGCAACTTAATCTTAATTAGAACATACTGATGTTTGTGTCACAATGGATAATTAAGCTATTTATGATATTTGTAAGAATAAACTTGATATTGAAACACCAAAATATTCTAATTTGAATAGGATGATAGCTTAAGTGATTTCATCTATAACTTGTTCAATGAGATTTGATGGAGGACTATTCACTGACCTAACTGAATTGTACACTTGTCTAGTTCCCTATCCCCTGTTCAAATTTATGATTTGCTCATATGCTCCTATAATATCCCATTGAAATATAGGCCAAGTGTAACTTTCAACTGTTGAAATTTCAAATCTTGCTTTTGAAACAGAAAACATGATGGCAAAATGCGATCCAAAACAGGGGAAAGTAAAAATAGTTTATAAGTGAACATAGTCATTTTCGATCATTAGTTTAGTTTTATAATTAATAACATTCTTAAATTCTTAAATTTTGCTTTTAATAATGCCAATTAATAAAATTCTAAAAAATGAAATGATTTGTAAAATTGAAAGTGAATTAAATTTTAGCTGTACTTTTAAATTTTAAGTTTTAACAAGAATTTAGTTTTTTTATATCAAATATTTAAAATAGTTCCCATAATGTATGTTCAAACTTCTTCATATCAGATACTTTTAATGATTTGATAAGGATCAGAACATTAAGTTTCTAAAGCAAAAAAAAATTTCGCCTAAAAAGTATTTCCACTAAAAATTGAAAAATAACCAATATAAGGTCAAATTGAAAGCAACATTAAAATCCTTAAAGAGTTAAATAAGATAGAAGGAATTCTAAATTTAATAGAACATGGAAAGGCTGCATACTATAAGTATGAGTAATTTAATCAATTTAGAGGATTTCTTATGATGCCATAACTAAATTTTATCTTACATATTTAGTTAAAGCTTAAAATTTTTCTTCATCTTGTACTCTGACTATCGGGTTAAGTATCATTTAAACATTAGATTAATTACATTATAAAAATCTTACATCTTGATGTTAAACCAGATAATATTATGGTTACAAAAACAATAGTAAAATATTTAAAAAAATAATCACTAAAGCCTGGAATCATCTAACTTATTGATTTTGGCTTTTCCAAAACTATAGATAATATAAAATATTTACAAAATGTATTAGTTGGTTCTTTAAATTTTGCAAGCAGAGCATCATATCAAGGAGAGAACTTAGGTTGATTGGAAAATATACTGCTATTTAAATAAAATCAATTTTAGACGTAAAATTTTGACTGCAATTATAAATGTATTAATTATTGACTAATTAGATCAATTGAAAAATATTGTATTTTTAATTTTTATATAATTATTACAAATTTCTTTTTAGTAATATTTGAACCATTTAACCTAAAAGAATGTTTGAACCTAAAAAAATTGTTAAATAAATTTAATCATCAATTATCTTAAAAAAGTATGAAAAATTATCATAAATTTTTCATTTTTCATAATATTAAAATTTAATTATAAAGAAAGAGAAAAATATTTTATATATATATANTACTTTTAAATTTTAAGTTTTAACAAGAATTTAGTTTTTTTATATCAAATATTTAAAATAGTTCCCATAATGTATGTTCAAACTTCTTCATATCAGATACTTTTAATGATTTGATAAGGATCAGAACATTAAGTTTCTAAAGCAAAAAAAAATTTCGCCTAAAAAGTATTTCCACTAAAAATTGAAAAATAACCAATATAAGGTCAAATTGAAAGCAACATTAAAATCCTTAAAGAGTTAAATAAGATAGAAGGAATTCTAAATTTAATAGAACATGGAAAGGCTGCATACTATAAGTATGAGTAATTTAATCAATTTAGAGGATTTCTTATGATGCCATAACTAAATTTTATCTTACATATTTAGTTAAAGCTTAAAATTTTTCTTCATCTTGTACTCTGACTATCGGGTTAAGTATCATTTAAACATTAGATTAATTACATTATAAAAATCTTACATCTTGATGTTAAACCAGATAATATTATGGTTACAAAAACAATAGTAAAATATTTAAAAAAATAATCACTAAAGCCTGGAATCATCTAACTTATTGATTTTGGCTTTTCCAAAACTATAGATAATATAAAATATTTACAAAATGTATTAGTTGGTTCTTTAAATTTTGCAAGCAGAGCATCATATCAAGGAGAGAACTTAGGTTGATTGGAAAATATACTGCTATTTAAATAAAATCAATTTTAGACGTAAAATTTTGACTGCAATTATAAATGTATTAATTATTGACTAATTAGATCAATTGAAAAATATTGTATTTTTAATTTTTATATAATTATTACAAATTTCTTTTTAGTAATATTTGAACCATTTAACCTAAAAGAATGTTTGAACCTAAAAAAATTGTTAAATAAATTTAATCATCAATTATCTTAAAAAAGTATGAAAAATTATCATAAATTTTTCATTTTTCATAATATTAAAATTTAATTATAAAGAAAGAGAAAAATATTTTATATATATATATATATTTATTATTATTGCCCATTTTTTATAGAAATTAATGATGAAAATCAGTATTGAATATAAAAGTTCATCAAATTTCTTGAGTTTGTACATTATCTTAATTTTCATCTAATTTTTTTAAGTACTTCTCTTCCATAATTATCTCAAATATTTGATCTAAAGCTTTCATATTTATTTAAAATTTCTGATAATGTTATAATGGATAAGGACCTTTGATAGGTTAATCTCCTATTTTATTTATAAATAAAGTATTGTCCATAAACAAATAAGAAGAGGAAAATATTAATAAAACTTTGCTTTTTTCAACATCAAGAAACACACATTTCCTGAAATGTTTTTTCTGAGAGTGTCTTTATAAATTTCCAAGATTTTACTTAAATATAAATTTTACATAATTACTTGTTTAAGTTTTCCACAATATTCTGGACACATTTTTTTTAAACATATAAGACAAATATATTATCCTTGATATTTAGTCTCCAATTTAAATTTAGGAAATTAGCAATTTTTCTTTTAACAAGGAAGTAAGTAATTCTTACTTAAAAATGAACTAAAATTATTTGTTAAAAAATTTAATCTTTTTTTTTTGAATAAATCCTTAATTACTTAAATGTCATAAGGTAATAATTTATTATTAATATATTTATTGATTTTTCTTTAAGTCAATACTTCAAATATTGCTTAAGCCAATTCAAAATTTTTATTTAGTAATATTGAAAGGTTAGACTAAAAATTATTGATATTATGCTTTTTTATCAGATGTGTTTAAATTAATTTTAAAATTTGGAAGAGCGTTTCGTTTTCATTAAATTTGCATTTTTCAATTTGATTAGAATTCTGCTTGATATAAAACAATCTCATCAAATTTATAATTTTTTATATAAAAAGATGTTGATTCTTTTAAATAAAATTCTCTAAGTCACTCAATAATTAGAATGTTAAATTACATAATATTTAAGATAGAATTTCATCTAAAAATTCTAACTTATATTCCTCATTCTCGTCTATTTCCTCAAAAATTTATTAATAGTTGTCATAGACTGATTATATGAGAATAAACGTTGACAATTCAAAATCTTTAGTTTCTATATTTTCTAGGTTCTAAGAATTTGGTAACAGAAAATTATAAGCAGAATAACACAAAGGGCATTAATAGCATTTTTGATTCTTTTCAAATAAAGATAAGATTTATTTTTTCAAACAATCAGCATGAAAAATATGGTTACAATTAGAAACATGCATAGATAACATTTTGAATTCTTAAGTAGGCTAAAATTAAAAAATATTTAAATATTAATAGACATTTGTGTATTAGATTAAAATTGGTAAGTATTATAGATCCGCTTTTTCAAATGGTAATTTACATAATAAACATTTATCATCAGTATCTTCTATGTGTTATTTATTATTAATAATCTTGCTATTAAAATTATCCTTCATTAAATTGAATTTTTATTGTAATTATTATTTATATTATTGATGCTTTTCAGATTTAGATTAATGATCAGCTTCATCCTATTTTTAAATTATACTTTAGTTTTGTAATTTTTAGCAATAGACTTGAAAAAAGGACTTTTAAGAATGATTTATCTTTTAACTAGATAAAATTATTTAGCAATAATTTTAAATTTTATCCAATCTATTTTAAATCATAATATTAGAGGCCTTAAAAAATGAATTCGATAAAATTAATAAATTAATATAAACAGCATTGTCCTATAAAATCTTAATTGATTATTCTACTATTATACCAAAATCAATTTTTTATTAAAAAATATTTTCTAAATTTTTTAGAATTCTTTCAAGTAAATACTATTAATTATCAAGGGATATTGCTTTAAGTATTTCATATCTAATATTAGTAAGAGTTGATTTATCTGTGTTATAATATTATAACTCATATTATAACGATGATCCAAATAATTCAGCATATTTATCATTCTACATTTATAATTTATCATTTATTTTTTCTTTAATCAATTCATTTTATTAGGCATAAATTGGTTCATAAATAGGTAATTTAAATTCTTTTCTTAATTATAATTATCCATTATCTTAATTCATTTCACAACAACTCAAAATAAAAGTTTCAAAATCTGTATAATTTTCATAACTAAATGATTTAAGAATAATCTTCATTTCATTCAATTAATAAAATGTTTAAGAATAAAATATTGTTTAAAATAATTTATGCAATCCTTTTTTTAATTATAGAGTTAATTAATTCCCAAAAATGCTTCCAACACATTATATTAAATCATTATCAGTTTAAGCAATTGTACAAATTAACAAAGTAGAATTTTCATTTTATTTAAGATGAGATGAGATTTCAATATAATACTAAACAATATCATTGATTCCCTATTCTTAAAATAGAAAAGCATAAATTTAGATACAAGCTATATCAACCTTTTAAAGGGATACTTCATCATCTAAATCCTTCAAAAAGTTTTATTTACCAAAGTAGTATTCATTATTTGAAAAAATCTTATAATTTAAAATGGCTCTTTTTAAGATAGATCTCATAACTAATCTTAACTATTAATTATTTTAACCACTAATCTGTAGGATATTATCATATGCTTCTTTAGAATTTGCAAAATTCATTAAGTATATTGATAACACAATTATAAAATTTCTATCACTTAAGACTAGATTAGATAGAATTAATTGCAGCGGAGTTTAATATTTTAAGTTGAATACTGTTACTAAACTATTAAGAAAATAATGTAAGATTATTCTTTATATATTTTAAACTTCGTTTGAACTTAAATGCCCAATAGCCAATATCATGGATTTTAAATCAAATCTATATGAAGATAAATTTTATATTAATAGAATTAATAAGCAATCTAAAGATTATTCATCATCTTCTTCAGTCTGATATTCTAAATTAAAATTTTTCTTTTGTGTACATGGATTCCTCCTAGTTAATGAGTAAATCAATAAAGATTAATTTAATAATTTCTAAAACACAAGTGAATTTGGATTTAATATTTAAGATTAAAAGGAATGAGCATCTATTGAAAGAATTTCTTGAATCTAATTAACTAATCCATTCAGACATTATTTGTTTCTGATCATTAATTCTAAAAAATAACCAATATTAATAGATAATACCAAAGAAGGTTTGTTTATTAACGGGCTAAATTATTTATAATTTTTACATTTTTAAGAGCAGATCAGAGATATCTTCAAATAGGTTATAGCAATTTGGATTTCTGATATGTTTGTATAAATTCAGTATTTCAATGTAGCCTCCCTAACAATAACTATAAACCTTTTCTAAAATTGAACTCTAAATTATTATATTTTTAAGTTTAATTTATTTGATTTAGCTACAGGCAAGTATTTCCTCGATTAAAACAGCTAATTTTTAATCTTTAATTTCTGAATATGTTTATAATGAGAATTCTTCATTTTTAGTGTTAGTTAATTTGTAAGAATTAATCAAAAGATACAATGCCGAAAAATTTTAGATAACAACTTTTACATGATGTTTTCGAAATTCATCCTCTGAAAAGAAAAGAGGAAAAAATGTTGAAATATCCAAATCGAATTGGAGTGATCCAACTAAATGTGCACTATATTTAAGATAATATTCCAAAAGTGAGGTTGATCCAATCTCTTTATCATTTATTTTACATAAAATTTCTTACTTTAAAATTTTAGCTGTAAATTAACTCCAGACTATATTATCAGTTGTTATAATATCTAAGCATCTCAATATTAATTTATGAATTTATTTTGCTTAATTCATAGAATTCTAAATAGATTAGAAATGATTTTTATGAGAATTATAATAATTCTTCAAAATATGATTGTTTAAACTTTCAATTATATATTCTAAATTCTCTAATAGATCAGCAGGATAATCAACTATTTATTCTAATTTCTTCTATAATAATCCAAAAGAAATCATTAAAAATTATTCATAATTTTTTATAACTTTTTCATCATCTAATATCTATAATTTTATTTACAACCTATTTAATTATCCTTCAACTTTATGGAACAATGATTATGTTTAGAACACATTGAATTGATATCAAAAATTATTGTATCACCACAATCACAAAATCCTGGCATTTCAGAGGAATTTTACTCATAAAAGACAGCATGATCTAACAATATATTTTCAATTAACTTTTATGAATTTCAGGAACTAAGCACTCATTACAAATCGCATGGCTTGGGTCTTTACAGCAATCAAAGCATTAGAATAACATTTCTGATTTTTCAATAGTTTTGGCACATAATTATTTAGATCCATAACCTTTTAATTTAAAAATCGTATTTAAATATTCTTCTTAAGTGATATTTAAAATGACTGATATTAATATTTCATCCTCATAATCATCAATATCATTTGAAACTTTTAAAATTTTATCTTCCGCCTTTAAAATTTCCATTATTTTATTTAATTATTAATAAAACATTTATATATAAACCAAATAAATATTTAGAATATCTTCTGTATTTTAATTTTGTTTTAAAATATGGAAGGATCTCCTTAATTTATTTTCAATAACATATATCTAAAATTGATATTAACTTTTTTATCTAATTATAAAATGTATTAAAAATTAAGTTAATCATCATATATAATTGATTATAACATCACTTAAATTCTGAATTATGTTTATATCTTGATAAAAATTATATTCGAAATACTTTTACTATTAGATGGCCATTTTTTTAAATAATTATTCTTGATTTAATTATTCAGATCCTTATAAATATTAATATTAACTATTTTAGTAAAACATCATGTCCTTTTGACCTAAAGTATTTCATTATAAACAATCAAATTTTAATTGTATTTACCCAAATCTTAAAAATATTATTATTGTTTAGAATCACTTTTTTCATCACTTATTTTTAAATGTAGACATATTTATAATTCTTTATAAATTAATTCTAAATTTTCAATCTAATTATTTCTGAAAAATATTGTAAAAATAGAATCATAATAATATAGATTGAGATTTATTGAGTTGGTTTTAAAAATTAATTACCAAATTTTTGAAATTCTTTTCTTAGATTTATTAAAAGTATTTTATTTCTATAATGATTGATTTTATCTATACATAATAATATTAATTATCAATGTAAATTCTATAGATTTCTCGAAATCTTTAATAGAAAAGCAATATTAAGAATAATGAAATATAGTTCCCAAAAATAATTTGAATTCTAAATTGATTCTCATTATATAAAATTGCTGTTTCAAATAAATTAATTATTGTTAAGATTATAATTATTAATCATATTTAAATATTCAACATTATTTTCTATTTATCATCACTCATATCATTAATTACTAAATGAAAATCTTAATTCCATCTAATATCAGCTCCTCTTTATTCTAATTATTTTTTCATTTCTTAAACACTATTCACATGATCAATGCCTTTCCAAATATATTTTATAATTCTTCATTAGTTCAATAATTCTAATGTCAAATTTGACAGAGTTATAAAGCTAATAGAATTAAATATTGTATTTGATCAGACTTTAAATTAAATCAAATATGATATAATTTTTTATAAATTAAATTTATCAAATGGAAGACGATTCTGAGTTCTTGTTATAATAAGAAAGTCATGAGGAAGATGAAATAAAAGGTTTCTATCTCAATAATAATTGTCAAGAAAATACATAATTTTCTTTAAAATGAAATTGAGATAAGCACAGCAGTCATGAAGAAGAACGCAAAAAACTTTTTAAAAGATCTAAAAGACAATTATGAGCACCAAATTACTTGAGGAAAAGTTACACGCCTAATTGGTTAATAAAATGTATGAAATACAAACTTTTTTTGATCAAATTGCTCAACATAAGGATTTGGACTCAGTGAAATTGTAGATTTTAGAAAAAAAATCTTATAAGGCTAAACAATAACATAAAAATATAGTCTATATTATAATCAAATTCATAATGGAATATGAATCATTATAGATATATTTTTAGAAATGTCATTAAAACAATACAACTTATGAATTGATATAGAATAATTAGATAAAGGATTACAAACGTTACAATTGCTAACATTAGGAATCCCTGAGATTTTATATAAACTAAAAGAAGTATTTTATATGTGAATTTAAGTATTGCAGAACTTTAATTCTTCAATTAAATTTGAAATTATTAATCCAAACCAGGATCAACAAAAACCACCTTTTTTGAAGTCTAAAAAAAAGGTTATTATTATCTATATATACGTAGATTAAAAATCTAATTTAATGTAGAAGTGCCAATATATATAGAATTAAAACAGAAAATAATTCTATAAAAAAAATTATAAAATATTTTATAAATATGTCTAAGATTTCGTAGATATTTTCTAGTATAGATATAAAGATTCAAGATATAAGTTTTCCTGAAATACCTCAGACCTTTGTCTTATTTGAATTAGCTTTGTCAATAATTGATTATAAGATAAAGGATATAATTAGAACCACAGTATTTCTATATCTAAAACATATCATCGTAATTATTTATAAATTTTTGGGAAAGAAATTAAAATTACTTCTTCTATTTTTTTTTTAAAGACAATATAATTCAAAAATTCAATCACAAAATTTTAATTTATTTAGTATTTACTCTTTTAAAAATAAAATAAAATACTTATTATAAAATATTACAAAATATCAGCAGAAGAATGAGATCAGCCAAAACCAAGAACTCATAAACAATCACCTAATAATTATCAGATTATTCCAAATTACAGAGTTATTCTGAGAATATTTATAAAATTTAGAGTTAAAATTGGTGATAAAAATAAAGAAAAAAACAAATAGATAATAATATAATGGATTTATGTTTAAACGTTCCACAATAGCCTTGACTCTTAAGAATAATTATAAGAAAATAAATTTTTAAAGACTTAATATTCATTTATACTGAAAAATCAAATTAAAATTATTAACTGAATATTTATTTTAAATATTAAATTAACAAAAAGATTAAGTTAATAAATATAAATTGCTGAATAGATTCTGTTTCTAATGCATGAAATGCTAGATTATTCTCACTATCTCTCTGCTATTGAAAGTTTGGGGTTGAATGTTCCTTGCTTAGTTCAACTGATGGGCTGTCAAATATCGGAAGACTTTTTGATGGTCTTTTTGGATTTATAAAAGAAAATTCATATTAAAAGATACATTTTTATAAGGATGATCTTAATCAATTTTATTTTGATACAGAATTTTATTTTGGATATAATTTTTATGTGCTCAAATTTTTCAAATATATCAAAATTTATAATGGATTAATTTTATTTTTTTTATTTAATAAAATTTTGGATACAAATTATTTTTTGATGGGTAAATTTTCCAATGATATAAATTTTTCATCAGAATCAATTATTTCAGTATCAAAGAAAGTCTTGTTAAATGTGGCTAACAAGTATTGGATTAATAGCATTTTTTTAATTTAAAAATTTACAATTTTAATTTTTTATTAATTGTATTTTTTTATGAGAACCTCTAGCTTTATAGACTTTGCAGATGCATTATTATCATGTTGTTGTGGAATAGTTGATATAAAAAGGCTTGATAATAATATTTCGATTGGCATGTTTTGTAGAATATTATTTTTTCTATTCACGATTCTATTAAGAGATTTAAGTACTTATACTTGGACTGAATTCATTTCATAAATTGTAGCATGGTTTATTTTTCACTTATTCATCATCATTTATGAAATACCTTATTTTTTAGATGGTCATTCAGAAAGTGATAAAAGAGAACACCGATATAAATATATGGATATAATTTAGTTATTGATTGGAATAATCTATTTTACATAAACTGAATGGACATATTTAGAATTTTTGACCTTTATTTTATTCCTTCTAAATTTGTTAATTAATTTATTAGGATTGTGTAAATCTTATTGTGTAAATAAAAAAAAGTAGGATTATTATGAACAAGGAGGAGTTAAACAAATTATTCTTGGTTTATTTGTGGGAACCCTTTCAGTTACGATATATTTGTTTATTATTAGAGCTCAATATGAGGAAGAGATTGAAGCTTCAGGTAGTTTGGGGCAATATATGACTTACACAATAATTGGTGAAATAGGAGCAGCTGTATCCTCTCTTTTTTTCCTTTTTATACCTATGGATAAATATAACTTTACTAGTGATTGTACAAAAGGTGTTTTAGGTTTTTTTTATGGAATAAATTTTGGTTTATTTAGTATTTTTTATGGATTTTTATTTGGCATCATACTCATAATTATTTTCTTTATTTTAATAATAACTGTTTGTAGCCAACATACAGATAGCTAAGTACATCCAGCTTGAATTAAAAATAATTTCAATTAATTTAGATATTTTTATTTGTTATTCTTGAATATATCAGAAATTTAAAATATAAAGAGGGTATATTTCTATTTTTTTCAAAAATTAATTATTAAAATAAAATTTTATCTTGAGTCATGATTATAATTAATCAATAAAAATTTAGAATATCTAGTAAATAGGAATTAGAGTTCACTTAGTTAACAATTAAATAAATAATTAATGATACCATTAAGAATTCTTCACCATTTGAGTGTAAGCACAGGGCTTAAATTTAGTTTGCTATTTTATTATATTAATGATTCGTTTAATCTTTTTCTATTGATAATATAATTTCAAGAAAATCACGATTTAAGTTAAAATGTTCATAATTCATGAAGGAATTAATATTCTTCTTACAAATATGTCTTCTAGAAAATAAATAATACTATTGATAAAATCTCTTTATAAAATCGATTTCAAATTATCCAGAAATTTTCAGTATTCAACATTTATATATTAATCTGTATTTAGTTTTTGTTTGAATAATATGAAAAAGAATTTAGAAGGGAAATTTGATTGGAGTTATTAACAATTGTATCTATAATTCATGTAAAGCTAAATTTTGTTTATAATTATCTCAACTTGACTTTCTGAATTAAATATATAAAATTTATTATATCATAATTTAAGGATCTAATATACATTCGAAACCAAATTGTTTGAAGTTTCAAATTCAAATGATAACATAAAAAGTACTTCGCCTAAAATATAATGGCAAAATATTAATGTTATTGATCCACAAAATTCTTGGCAATAAATGGATGAAAATCTAAAATTAAGTACTTAGAAAGTTATTACAATCAAAAAAGTTGCTAAGGCATACTTTTTGGTCATTATTTTATTTTTCCCATTTAATTTTCTACAAATTTAGAAGATGCAATAGAAATGTTAATTATAAATGTTTCCATCATTAAGAAATACCTTAGTATTCGCAAAAATTGCATCTAAATATACTGCATTAACCTTATAATTATTAAATCTTCCTCTTTCTTTTTACTAATTATCCTTTGAATCTACTTTTACCTATTAATAATTAACATTAATTGTGACGAAAATAATAACAACAATAATATTGGTGTCTTAAATAATATCCTAACACTAATTATCTATTATATAATTTTGCACAAAATTCGAATTAATTTGCTCCTTATTCTTACTAAACTAGAGTTCCAAATTAATTGCAATACCATTCTAAACTCCATTACAATAGCAACTGTCTAAGTAATTAAAATACCCACCCTTAAGCTCCTAATTAACTAAATCTTACTCCTTAAATTCAATTAAGTATATCGAACTTGTATTTGGAAAATATCCCAAGATAAAATTCATTGCTGTTTATAAGTATGGAAGAAGTAATAATCTTATTGACCATCACTTATGGCTTATTTTTTGCTTAAGACTAAATAACTTATCTCTTTATTCAAATCATTGTAATTATTTTAATTATCATAAAAAAATATATGATATTATTAAAATAATTAAGTAAATAATATATCATGATTATTTTGTTGACGAGATAAATGAATGAAAATAATCGATTATTATCATAAATATCAAGGTCTTTATGTAATAATTGTGAATTCATTGATGCCTCAAAATTTTTGTTAGTAGAGATTTCCTAACTCTAAATCTATATTCAAATGAATATTGAAAATACAGGTGTCTAGGGATAAGTTGTAATCAATAGCTGCTCTAATTTTTTAATAAATTCAATAGATATTGAAATTTGTAAAAAATTTGCAAATACATAAAAATTATTAGAGAAAAAAACTTAAGTATTTAATTTTATTGCTCATTTTTTATTATTATTATAAATCTTATTATGCCTTGTATTTCTGATTTGTTAAAATAATTTGTGATCTACTTAAAACAAAATGGGGGTTTGGTTAAACAAAAGCATTTTAAAAAAATAGTAAAATAATATTCTAATTTTCTTTTAAATGCCCAGCCTTGATTATAAAATAGCAATTGAATCTCATAAAATTTCTAATTTTATTTTAGGCAGTTAATTATAATTGAATGCTAGCTAAAGAATAGATAAATATTAGTGCATGTAGAACGCTAATTTTGATCTTTTAGTAAAAATTTTAATTTTTTCTTAATTATTGTTTATTTATAAAATCTTATTAGAGTTATATTAACTATTATGTTCGAAGTTGAAACCACCATTAGAATTAATGATGATATTCCAATTTAATAAATTTTAAACAATAAAAAAATAATTTTTATTTATTGATTATTATCAAAATTAAAAATTTAATTAGATAAAATAATTTATATGTTTAGGAAATATTCTTTACTTACCATTTAATTTAGAAGTATAAATTAGATAGGAAATTGACTATTGAGTTATTTTGTATTGAAAGGAAAATAAATGAATTAATTATAAATTTTGCCTTATTAAAAATTTAATTCAATTAAATATTATGTAAAAAAATATACTAAGTTTGCTAATTACTATTCTTCTAACTTTATTTGAGTATTACAATTTGTTATTAAAGATAAGTTTATTCAAATTGCAATTACATAAGTGCAGGGTCTATAATATTAAGTTTATCTAATCCAGAGTAAGAAATAGATGTTAAATTGGAAAGTAGGATTTTAAACTCTAAAGAAAATATAGGGTATGGTTTATGGGTGAAATATTAACCATTCATTCCAATTTCAGATATAAGTATTGGTATAATTATTTATAGGTGTTATCAGGTTTTTCAGGAAAAGGTTAAATATCATCAGGATAGTTCATATATTTACTAGAGTAAAAAGAAACAAAATTCAATTTATTAACTTTTTATATTTCTATTTCTGATTAAACATAAACAATTACTCATAATGTATTTTATTCTTTTAAAAAAACAACTGGTACTATAGTATTTAATTTCGAATATGAAAAATATGAAGGATAATGGTTATTATTTTATTTCTATTTTAATCTATTATCAGAATCAACCATGATTGGATTTTATTAATTGGAATAAATAATTACAACAAAAACATAAACAATAAATGACATACCTGCTTTAGTCAAGGAAATTACACATTAAATAGGAGGGAAATAAGATGTAATAAATTAATTTGGAGAGGAGTTAAGATTAACTTAGTTTATTGGAAGATTGTCATCAGTTTTCAGTTAAGGGTCAGTAAATATATTTTAAGACTTGGAGACATTTTTATTAGATTGTTCCATAGAAACTGAGTGTTAAGGATCTACTTATACATTATCAAGTAATAATTAAGTATTTTTGGGATTGAAATATTTATTTGGTAGTACAAGTGTATTTGAATATCCAATATATGTAATAAAAGGATGGTTAAAATTATAATTATTTGAGAAATCACCTCTTGATACTGTGATTTTTAGAGTTACAATAAATCAAGACTATTAAGATGACATGGAGATTGGAGATAAAGATATCTATTTAAAATATCATCAGAATGTCATTCCAGAATCTAATGGATTTTCAATAACCACATATTCATACAATTTTCCGACTTCAAATAGATACACTAGTACTGCCTCAGATATCATAAGTAATTTTGGAGCATAATACTTGGAATTATTTATTAAGTGGCATTATATATAATATGAAATTGGAACAAATAATAACTAAGGGTAACCAGTTTTTATGATGTATTTTCCATCACTAATGGTTAAGTAGAAAATATATAAATGGAATAATTAAATCAAACATTTCACAGGAACAAAAATGTATTATTATGTTGGAGGAGATAAATAAAGCAAAAACTATTTGAGAGGATACATCAGTGATATGTCATTAAGTTCTTATTGCACAACTCCTACTATTACACTATCTCCTAATTGTCATTATTCATGTCTGACCTGCGATGGCCCTAATAGCAATAATTGTTTATCTTGTCCATTAAATAGTCAAAGAATTTAATCTATTACTTAAAAGATTTGTGCTTGCAAAAAAAAATATGTAGATATTGAAAATGAACCAATTTGCAAACCAGTATCAGAAATCTTTCCATAAATGACAGAGGTGGAATAGGAATTACATTGTGATACTCAAGGTAATGATGTTTGTACTATAGAGAAAAAGGAATGTTCATTTGGTTATTTCTAATATGAAGAATATTGCATATAATGGTATTTTATAAATAAAATATAGTCCTGGTTATTCATCATTTAATACAAGAAGTATGATTTAGTGTTCAAATTGTTTGTTTTACCCAGATAACTTTTAATAATCATTTAAGTGTACACAAGACACAATCACATATGAATATAATGAAAATTTTTCATATTACACTGTCAACAGAATGGAGAGAGATGTAGAATTTTATAATATAATTGAAAATGGAAATGGAGATTATGAATTAATTCTAAAGTATGGATTTGATAAATCTGATTAATGTAAAAAAGGATACTTTTTAAAAAATAATAATTGTATTTCCTGTGTTCAAGGATGCCAAACTTGTCAACATGAATCACTTTGTCAAACATGTTCTTCTGGTTATGTTTTAACAGGAGATTTTTCATGTACACAATGCTTAGGATGTACAGATTGTACTATATAATCGGAAATAGTTTTATGCAATATATGTGCAACTGGAACATACCTATCATCAAATGGGTCTTGTATTCCTTGTGGATAGAATTGTGCAAGTTGTGATTCAAATGGAATTTGTCAATACTGTGATGATCCTACTAAGTACTTTTAAACATTTGATGGTTATAATTGCTAACCTTGCAGTATCTAAAATTGTATTTATTGCTATTAATACTACGTTAAAAATGGTATTACTTATACAACTCTTGATATAAATTATGAAATTCTAAAATCAAGTTAAGAATAATTTTATATTGGATGTGCACTTTGTTAAACTAATCTTTATTATAATTTATTAACATTAACTTGTTCAGAAAAACCTGTTACATCTACAACAACTACAACTGATCCAATTAGTGGAGGTGGTGGAGGTGGTGGTGGTGGAGGTGATGGTCCATTTGACTAAATTGATGATTGCACTTTTGGGCTCATTATCGATACTACTGGTGATACTGAATGCTTGATTAGCACAACAAGTAAAACTTCTACCCAAAATAGAGATTGTATATCAATCTCAAATTGTTAAGAATGTATTGAAAAATATAGTTTAACCATAACTTTTTGCATAGTCTGTGTAGATGGTTTTTATTCATCAATATTAACTGGTTAATGTTTATAATGTGATACTAATTGTAAGACTTGTATTTAATAGAGTTAAACTTATCAAGATTATTGGAAATGGAATATAAAGGCTTATTATAAATATATTTTTAATTAAGATGATTCTCACTCCTTTGAAACCTATGCAGTAGAAACTTTTCAAAATAATTTTGAAGTAATTTGCACATCCTGTCCTTTAGGATATATTTTGGATAATCATAAGTGTATCAAGAATTGTGATTTGGAATGCACTAAATGTCAAATTATAAATGGGGTTGCAACATGTGTATAATGTTTGGAAACTCCATATGGATTTTTAAAAAGCTAAGATTCAAATGGTGAATGTTTAGCTTGTCCAAGTAATTGTGGAGCATGTTTAGAAAGAACTCCATCTGAGATAACAAAATTCAATCCATATTTTATATCCTCTACTTCAAACTTAAAATATACTAGAATTTGTTATGAAAAATTCAATTTAGATTCTCCTGAGGGTTAATATTTTAATGATCAATTATTAAAAACTATTACCTTTTGTGAAACATATAATAAATGCTATTATTAAGTTATATTGGTTTAAAACATTTATTGTTCTTATAATCATTTTAATTAAACTGCTGATAGTTTATCAGGAGAAAGTTAAAATCTTTTTAAGATGAAAAATATTTATATAGCTGATCTCTTTTAAAAGAAATATTTATCTGCTGTTGAAACATCAGGATTATTTTAGTATCTAAATGAGAAAGTAATAAGGGAAGTAGTTTTTGAATATACACTAATTTAACAAAATGGAGAGGTTTGCATCATACCATCATAGTCGTAACTATTTTCTAAAATTTAATAAAATGTTTTTACTGTTTAAACTGTTAACTTAAAATTTATTGGACAATTATACCCAACCACTATCACTTTAGAGTCTACATTAACTTTGAGTAACTTCACAACAATTACATTTCAAAATATATAATTAGATACTTTTAATTAAATAAACTCCTAATCATTGGGTACAGCAATTAATTTAGAAAATTAAGCCATTAGTCTCAACTTAATCCTTCAAGACTGTGTTATTACTACTAAAAATTCTACACCTATTATTACATCACTTTATATTATGTCTGAATAAGGTTATTCTTTGAGTCTCATTAATGTAATAATAGAAAATCTAAAAGTTATAAACTCTGAAATTTTTTCTTTCATTTCGAAATCTTTATTCAATTCAAATAGATTAATTGTTTATAATTTAAAGATAATCAATTCATATTTTTCCGATACAGATTTATTCTACTTTGAAGGAAAATAGAATTAACTTTTATTTAACACTTAGATGAAAGCTATTAGCATTACAAATACAACATTTTAAAATTCAAATTTAATGAAATCCTAAACATAACTAGACTATGATATTGGTCAAGTGTTAATTCAAGAAATTCAACTAAAGGAAGTAATAATCAAAGAAAAATCATCATTACTTAGTATTTAAGGTGCAGAATCATTAAAAATTCAAGGTTTAATTATGCTAGACAGTATCATTTCTTAAGGCTCATACCTTTACATTTGCAATATCTTTGATTTACAGGATATATATATAAACAATACAAATATCACTAATAGCACAATGCTAAGTAATGATGTCGAATACTCATAATCATCTAATGCACTAATTAATGCAGCTAAAGTGTCAATTATTAATTGCACAATTGAAAATGTAAATTATAATAATTAGTAAGCTATTATTAAATTGATTTCTCTAGAAAAGATATCTGCTCTAAATGTTTCAATAAAATAATTTATTTTATCTAAAAGTGTGATTACAGACATAGTACAAAATAAATATATATCTTACTAATAAGCAATTATTTATATAGAATGTTAAACATGTTTATTCGAGGATGTGGAAATAAATAGAGGACATGGTTTACCAGAAATAACAATTTTAAACTCTTAGAACCTATCATTAAATAGGATTAAATTTACTTAATCTATATTATATCACTCTAAAACACTTCATTAATCAGTTGATTGCATGCTCAATTATGCCTATGATTATATGTATTTTTATTTATACATAGGATTGTATTAAAATATTACAATAAATAATTTAGAATTGTTTGATTCTATAGCTTTTAATAATCCTTATATAATTATAAAAGCTTATGATTTGATGGAGAAAATTCAAAATGAATATATAAATATCTAGAATAGTAGATTTGAATCAAATATGTTAATTATAACAAAAAGAAACAGTGCCACTTCAATTATATCATTATATTCTGAATAAAATTGCAAAATAAGTATAGACTGTGTAGTATTTAATAAAAATCATTTAAATTAATACATTTAAGATTTATCTAGATAATCTGCATCTACTCTAATACTGTAATTATAATAAGGTAGTGTTTAAATAACTAATACTGTTTTCAAATAAAATCTTGTCACTAATTCAACGGATTCAATATTATTAATAAAATCTATTGATGTTTTATTTCAGAAAAATAAATTTTCTAACAACAATATTTTGCTACTTTCCAACTTAGTTTAGAATCTATTATTATTTGAAGACTAAAAAGATTATGATGGGATGAGTATTATGTAAGCATTTCCAATTAATTCAAAAAGTGGAAATGGTTTAATAATAGCCAATATAATCTCAATAGATAAGACATCAGTTAATAATTCATTTTCATTGTATGGTGGTGGGTTCTATATAATAGCATAGGTTACAGGAACTATCTATATTTAGAACTCAATCTTTTAAAATACATTAACTAGTTTATAAAGTTCTTCATTTTCAACAGGTGGTTGCCTCTACATAGATGCCTAATTATCAGAGTTATATTTAAGAATATAATCAACAACTATAGAAAATGCATTTAGCAGGATTTAAGGAGGTGCCATCTATATTGTACCTTCGTAACAATAAAACTATATTAATCTACATAATTTAACAGTGATAAATTGCTTTTCCATCTAATATGGTTTTTTCTCATACTAATTATCAAGTCTTTAGAGCATAAATTCTGAAGTTTAATTTAGTGGAATATCATTTAAAATTACAAAAGCTGGTTTCATGAAATATTTGTCTCTTTTAGTATCACCAACTAGTGATGATATAGATTTGATACGAAATGATAACCCTTTGATTAAAATAAAATTTGGATCTGTATCAATAGAAAATTGCAGTTTTATATCAACCCATATTTAATTTTTAATAGATATTGAATTTGCAACAAATATTTTGATAAAAGATATTTTCATTCTAAATTCAACAATCTTGTTTTCTCCTTTGATAAGATTAAGTTTAAGATAATGTAATTATTTTATATATATTAAATAGTATATGCTGGAAATATTTTATTAATTAATATTAATGCAGAAAATGTGAAATAATATACTGATTATTCTGATTCTTTGTGTTTAATATCAACATACCCAATACTTTAATCTTTAACATGTCCTGGAGGTATCATATAAGAAAATCCAATTATAAATGAATATGATACATCACTTGAATAGGAATATTAATAATTGTGTAATTAAAATGAAGTTTATAAATAAGCAAATTATAATTTTAGCTTATTTGAGATAGATAATTTGAATTCATCTCATAGTTTTGAAGTTTAAGGATTAAATTTTGACTCTATAATTTGTAAATCATGTTAATATGGCATCTTTAGAATTAAGGGTATATTTTAATTATAGACTGAAAACATCTTTTTTAATAAAATTAAGATCTTTAATAGTGAATGTGGATAAACAGGATGTCTTTCATTAATATAATCAGAAGATGATGAATCTTTTTTAAGAAGTGATTTACTATTAGTTAATAGAAGAAGATAACTTCAAAAACATGATTATACAAATTTAATATAATAATTAGATTATTAAGCTAGAATAATGAATAGTAAGTTTTTAAATAACAATGCAATATATGGAGGATCAGTTTTCATTTTTTAAACAAAAACCTTAATACATAATTGTTTATTTCAGAAAAATAAAGCAGATATAGGAGGGGCAATTTATTATTATTCAAATGAATCTTCAATGATTATATTTGATAGTGAAATAATTGAAAATTAAGCTAAAATAGCTGGAGGATTGTATTTGAATAAATAGTAACTTTAGAAAACAATACAATTAGATGTATTTTTATCAAATAATAATTCAACTCTTTTTGGATCAGATGTTTTTGAGAATCCAAGATCTTTGACAATCTCTGTTGATGGTGGTCAGACCTTTTTAACCAAAATTTTGATAAAATAAAGTTCAACTATGATTATAGAAAAAATAATAGTCACTCCTTATAAGATATTGGGATAATCTGAAAGAGTGAAATATCTAACATTTCCTTCTGGTAGATAAATATTTTCTTATTAATTTTTTGATTAATTTCAATCAGAGTATATCCCTTATAATTTAACATTCCGTATCATCGCTCTTAACAAATATAATACTCAAGAGAAAAAATTAGCTGGAACTACCTGCACAATGACTCCTTCAATAATTAATACTACTAGTGAAGAAGTAGTACTAGGATTAATTGGAAATTTATCCTATAGTAAAGTGAAATTTAATGAAACTACTGGTGATTATAATCTAGATGATTTAATCATCTATTTCAATCCAACATATGAGGAAGATATTGTCTTAAGATTAAATATTTAATGTAATATTATCTCAATTCCAGAATATGATGTTACTCCTCCTTATTTAATTAAGAATTATTTAACAGACTATAATTTGTAAGTAGATATCAAAACTTTTTAATGTTAATTAGGAGAATTCTTAAATACAACTTCTGGAGGTTGTACATTATGTGATGTAATTTAAAACCAATATTAAGTGCAATGGAGTGCTTAGAGTTGTAGTTATAAAGATGACTTAAAAATGAAATCAATAGAGTCTTCTATGATTGAATTAAGATAAAGTTATTGGAGGGCATATTATTATAGTTAAACTATAGAATATTGTTACCACTTGACTGAAAATTGCGAGGGAGGATGGTAACCAGGAGATGAATCTTGCATTATTGGACATATAGGTGCTTTGTGTGAGTAATGCGACTTATATAATATTAGAGGAGATGGATCTTACTCTATAAGTTCTTAATATTCATGTGGAAGTTGTGAAGATATTTCTGGAAATGTATTAACTATATTTTTCATCAGCATTTGGACTCTTGTTTCAATTTTAATGTCTGTAAGTAGTACTGTTTAAATGATTGAAGAATTTATTATTGGAATTCGATTAAAAGCATTTGGGGTCACTGTTGTTATTAAATAAGCATCTACTGCTATATTAATTAAGGTATTCACAAACTATCTATAAATTATTTCAACTATTGGTACATTTTAATTACAAGTGCCTTCAGGATTGGCATCAATAGTTAATAGTGCTGGTAATCCAATCGAATCAATGGCATATTCTCTCGATTGCTTTTTAATAAATGTTTCAGATATACTAATCATTTACTTTAGAATTATCTGGAGTCTAATGATGGCATCTTCATATATCACAGTGTTCTTCACTTTAGGAGGAATAGCCATTATGTTTAACTCTATAAAATTCAGATTCTCTTATATTACTACAGCTCTTATATATGTATTTATCTACTTACAACCTAATTTAATAGGAGGTTTGATCTCTTTAATATCCTATAGAGTAATTTCAAATGAATATTGGATTTAAGGTAATGTAGCGTATCGTTATGATACATATCAGCATGTTAAATGGTTATTAGGCTTTTGCTTTCCCTTATTGTTACTTTTTGCAGCCATAATACCTGCTTACTTGTGGTATGGAGTAAGAAAGAATTTGCATCGTTTAGATCTTACTAAAGTAAGATAAATTTGGGGCTATTTGTATAATGAATATAAATTACATGCTTATTATTGGGAAACCATCAAAATCCTTTAAAAAGAATTAATCATTATTGTATTAGCTTATTATGAGGATCACATTCCTATAAAAGCATCCCTTGTATTTTTAGTGCTATTTGGATATAGCTTTTTAACTACCGCTCAAAAACCTTATATGTCTGGCGATCTCAATTACTTAGACACCCAATCGACAATTGCCTGTGCAGTATCAATCATCTTAGGCAGCTCTATTTATACAGCCTAATAATCAGATTTATAAGAAATAGTGTGGCCATTCTATATCATTATTGGAATATTAAATGCCTTATTTATAGCATAAATGCTTATTAAAATATTATTTGCTTATTTTGTCAAATTGCATGATCAAATTGATTAAGTAAAAGATTTTGTTAAAAGTCATTTTCCTAATTTTATAAGAAGACATCCATTTTTATATGAATTATTTGAAAGTAGAAAGAAAAAATAGGATAGGATTCGAGATAGATTTGGTAAATTAAGAAATTATCTAATAGCTTAAGCTAAAAAGATATTAGAATTTAAAAAGTAATTAATTATTATATTTTCTAGATTAAATAATTTAGAAATTCCAGGAAGAATTAAAACTGAATTATAAGATAGCCAAGAAGCATTATAAGAAAAAAATGTATTAAAACTTGGAATTAATTCTATAAACAGTCCATCTATTATTCCTTCTGAGAGAGTTGATTGTAAAATCGAAGAAAAATTAGCAAAGTCTAAATCTCCAAAGGTTTATCCAGAATTCCCTATACGTTACATCTCATAAGATAGTTTGAAATCCAGTTTTCATTAATCCTAAACTTGAACTATTTTTATTAAAAAGTATTCATAATTTGCATATTTAATTGATTAATCAATATATTATGAAAAATTATTATAAGAATGTTCTATTTAATCTTATTTTATTTTTAATTCATTTTTGTTATCTTAATAAAATAATGATTTTAAGAAGAATATATACACATAGTTTAGAATTTATCAACAAACTATAATAAATTACAAAAGAAAATTTGAATTTTTGTAATTAAAAAATGTTATATCTTAAAATGATTTGAAATTTTTTGACCCAAAATTCTCTTAACAAAATTAAATCAACCTCATTTTGTTAAAATTAGTTTAACTCATTATGATTGTTTATTTAATTTTTAACTGCTAAAGAATAAAATTATTTAATCATTTTAAATATGTTTTTAAATGATATCTATCAATATTTATTTATCATTAACTTTTGTTTATTGTTGTTGTATTTTACAAAATTCTATGCAAAAAAATATTATCTAGAATTTCACATAATTTTGTTTACTTATCAATATGAAATATATATTGACATATTTTAAATATTGTTACAATAAAATATATATAATGGACAATCTTTATCTATTTTTTGAATTTAATACAATTTTGATGGATATTAAATGTTTAGATGTTATTTATAAATGTTTACTTTGCTAGAGAAATATTTAATTCTACTACTTCATTAGATTTTTACACAGAGATTACTGATTTTGCAAGTATATATCATTATATATAAGGATTGTTGATTGGCTAACCACCTATTGATTTTATTTATTTACAGATTAATGGATCCAAATTTTAAATTGGAAATAGAATTCAAGATCAAATTTATGTGATTGTTCTGAAACAGATGTGAAAGTAATAAACTATAATTACTTAATTAATATTGCAAACTATTTAATATAGTTACTATATTTTCCAGATTCAATTAAAGTTATCTTTAGAAATATAAGATTATTTCAAAACTATACATCAATTATTAAAAATTAGATCAATAGCAAAATCATGTATGGCCATTATTTTCGATTATCAAAACTGAATTAGTATTTTGATTTATATATTTGATTTAATGAATTAATTTGAAATAATGAATATTTATTTTATTCTTTTTGTTATAAATTTATCAAAGACATGATATTGTATTAAAATAGTTATATAAATAACAATTTAATCTTGGTTTTAATTATTAAATTAGGTAAAGGAAATATATTTCATTATTGATGGAGCTATTTCAATTTATATTTATAATTAAATAATTATTGTAAATATTGTATAAAATAATGAAAAATCAAGATTATGAGGATTATGATTAAGATTATGAAAAAAAAGAAATAGATATTATGGAGAAATTACATAAGAAGAAAATGGCAGTAATAGAGAGATGCTTTCCAGATAAAAATTCAAAAGGGTAAGGATTGACAATCTAACAGTTTCTGAAAGTCATGTTAGAGCATTTAGATTACAATAAGGATTCAAAAGAGGAGACAAAGAAAATAACATTAGCATTAATTGAATTGTTTAAAGAAATAGATGTTAATGGTGATGGTACTATGGAATGGGTTGAATTTAGCAATCACATTATTGAATTAGGATTATTAAGAAATGATAGATCATTTAAGGATGTAATAAAAAGTTATCATCCTGCTGAAAATATTAAAGATGAACAAAAACATGAGACTGTAATTGATAGAGTATACTTTTTTGACAGATTGAAAATGCTTTTAGTATTAGAGAAAGAGTCTCCAAAATTTAAGGTATATAACTCAAATACAAGTGAATTAATATGGAATGTAAATGCTCATAAAGGATATGTATTGTCTGCAGAATTTATTCCTGATTAAAATTTAATAGCAAGTAGTAGTAATGATTTGACAATAAATTTTTGGGACTCTAGTAGTTTTAACTTAAAATAAATTCTGTCTGTACCAGAAATATAATTATGTATGAGATATGCAAGATGGAGTTCATCATAATCTAATTTCTTATATACAGGAGGATCAGATTCTATAATTCATATATATGATACATATGATTTAAAAGAAAGAGGAACATTATCTGGTTGGAACCCATTTATTAAAAGAGACTCTTAATAATATGGACATTCTTCTCCAATTGGTGATATATTGGCAATAGATTAATAAAATACATTGGTGACTGGTGGATTGGATGGCAATATTTGTTTATGGGACAGTGCTACACATCAACCTAAAAAAGAATTAAGAGGACATGAAAAAGGTGTATATAGTTTAGATTGGAGTGATTGGAGTCCTATGAATTAATGTTTAATAAGTGCTGGATTAGATCATGAAGCATTTGTTTGGAATACTTATGTAAAAGAAAAGATTTTCTTACTTAGAGGTCATAATCATCCATTAGTTGGTGTAAAATGTTTGCCTAGAACTTCTTAAGTAGTTACAGCAGATATTTCAGGAATGGTGAAAGTTTGGGATGTTAGAAATTTTTTATAAATATAAACTTTCAATGTTCCTGCAGATGAAATTTAAGCATTTACATTAACATATCCAAAGAAATAAATAGTAGTTGGAGCAAGAAAGATGTTTTTTTATGAATATGATGAACCTAAAGATTAGATGTTGACAGATGAAAAAATGTGTTTAAAGGTTTTATATAATTAAACACTTACATGTTTCATTACTCTACATCCTGATAGTGTTAAGACTTGGGATGCCAGAACTGGAAAATTGTAATAAGTTTATAGAGAATTGAGTGTTGCTGAATTAACTACAATGATTATTGATGCAAGATAAAGGAAATTATTTATTGGAGATTCTGAAGGTAGAATATTTACAGTCAACATTAAAAATGGTGCAAAAATGAAGAAATTTGAAAGACATCACAAAATGATAACTGATTTAGCTCATTGGAGTAATGATACTAATAGAAGGGTCATTAGTTGTAGTAGAGAGGATACTGTCAACATTCATGATGAAGATTCTTAAGATGCTCACAAATCTTGTAGATATAAAATGAAATAACATCATTTAAGTGTTAATTCACTTCATGTAAAATAAGATAGTGAAAACTTAGTTAGTTGTGCTGATGATGGAGCCATTTTTATTATAGATTTAGTTTCTTATAGATAAGAATTAGTTTGGAAATGCTAATATGAATTGAAAAAAGTAATGTTTTTGGAATCTCATAATTGTATTGTAAGTGTTGATTCTATTGGAAATGTTTATTTTATAGGAGTATTGGAAAGCAAATTTAAATCTAAATTATTATTGTAAAAAACATATAAAGCAATATCTTTGACTAATTAAGAAGAAACAGTAAATTTAATATCTATCAATAGTTTCCTGTGACTTCAATAAATTATCATGATAATTTATTATATTTGGGTGATGAATTAGGTAATCTAAAAATATGGAATATTAAACAAGTCTTAGATAAAGTTGATCTTCATTAAGTAGAGTAAAAGATAAAGACAAGAAAGAACAATGATGCTGATACATTTGTAACAGCCATGGATTATGGATAAGAAGATATTGCTTAAGTATTAATTAAATAAAATAATAGATATTTGTTATTGGAGATATAATGGAGGTTGGATATTAAAGAAAAGCTCATTAAGATGGTATTACATATATAGAAGTGTGTAAAGATGGATCACATTTTGCAACATCATCTTTTGATTGTTGTTGTTATTTGTGGGCATTTAAAAATGGATAAGTCTCAAAAATAGGAGCATTAATTTTGGGTCATGATGCTAATTGGGGTTACAGAATAGATGAAATATCTAGAGCTGAAGCTGCAGAATAAGAAGCTAATGAATTATTGGAGGAATTAAAAGATACTATTATTCCAACAAAGGTTGAAAAGAATGATGGATAGATTAGTTCATCTAAATAATAATTATTAGATAGATTATATGGAAGTAAACAATAAAAGGATTAATAATTATAATAAAATTAAGCAGAAAAAGAAGATAAAAAAGAAATGGCTTTAAACAGAGCAAAGAATGCTTTGAAAATATATGAATAATTCAAACAAAAATAGTTCACATATCAAAATTAACAAAATCAAAATGATTAAGATATAAAAAAATATGATGACTCAGAATATAAAGATGTTTTCTAATAATAAGACTATGATGAAGAAGAAGAAGATAATTATAATATTTTAACTGATCTTTAAGAATTCAAATAATAATAATTATCATCTGGTGTATATTCAAGTAAAAATGCTTTTAAAACTAAACTAATTAAAGGACATCATAAATCCAAATTTTCTTGATATATATTTAAATTTCATTAAATTCAAATATTATTTAAGTTAAATAAACCAATATATAACACTTAAACTTCTGATATATGCATTATGATTAAATGGAGATGTAAAAATAAGTTTATTTTATTCACTTAAGCTAATAGTTTAGTTTAAATGCTACAAAGTCTATTTCTTGTATATAATAAATTATATCATTAAAATCATTTTATATTTTTATGATGAAATACAAAGCTAGTTCGTCAGTGGATTGTATTTATATGGAAACCTTGCTCAATAAATAAATGAGATCAAATATTAGAATGATACAAAATAGATAGATGAATCCACCTTAAACTCCAAAACCGATGTCATAAAACTAATCCCGAAGAATCGTAAGTAGGTTAAATAGTTAGGGTAAGAAGTTACAAAGGAGCCTTAGTAATTAATTATTCAGCTGCAAGACAACAAAATTCTTATGAGTTAATTATGTTAACCAGTTGTTATCCATTCTCATAGAATTATTTCGAGTAATAAGCATTCCACTCTTGAAAGTCCTAAGTTTAAGAGAAACTGTTTACATTTGGATAATCCTTAAAATACAATAAAGCATTAACATTTTTTAAAAAAGGGTGGACAAATGTAGCATTCTCAAAAAGAAACTAAACCTTGGTATCCATTTGCAAGAATAAAAAGAAAACAAATATTAACAAGTTTTATTGATTAAAAATAAGCTCAAAACATTTAAAATAATCAAATTTTCACTCATTTTTAATCTATGGCTGATTTAACAGGCTGGTAGACTAATGATGATCCATAGATGGAAATGTAATGATAATAATTAATATTTTTATTTATATGTAATCATGTAAAATATATATGATATAAAATTACCAAAAAAAATGTTAATTTCATTAGATTCGTAAGATATTGTAGATTATAATTTATCAATATATATTATTATTATATTAATAATGGCACAATTAAAGATTTTATGAAATTTAAAAATTCAATTCTAATTGGATTTAGTTAAAATGAATAGATTAAAATACACTAATTATTTAGTGAAGATTACAAAAATTAATAATAAAACTTTATATTTAAGAAAGAATTCACTAATATGTCTCATATAATATAAGAATTAAAAAACTAAACAAAAATAAACTATCATAATAGTTTGTTTTTTTATTGATATTTAAAGTCCTTTTATCATTAAATTATTATAACATAAAATATAGAGTAGAAAAAAATAAAAAGAGATTTTACATGATTTATTTAAATGAGGTATAGATATGGTCAAAGGAATATTTAATAGCTTTTAAGGTCAAGGAAAATAAGCATAATAGAGATGGTAATTTATATATTAACGAAGTTTAAAAATTAACTCATAAAACTTTAAGCAGGATAACCTAAAATTCAAAATACTGTATTTCTTAAAGATATTACTGAATTTTTTATTCTTTAAATATTTAAAATTATAATAATAACAAAAAATCCAAATGTTGATTTACTATATTTCTATTTTGATTTAAATTATGATATATGTTGCCATTTTCTCAATAATACTATTTTCTAAAGTCAACCTAAATATATATAACTTCTTATCGATTTGATTAAACAGAGACATTATTAATAGTAAAGTCAAAATAATATTTATTCTTTAAATTTCTACAAGACTTTGTATCTAAGTTTAAATTTAATTATATATTTTCTTTTAATAATTATTATTAGTTTATATATTCTAAACATTATAAACCCAATTTGTTGCTGTATATATATTTATTCTGTCTAAATATCTTATAATTCATATAAATTTTATTAAATTTGATCAATATCTTTTAGGTTTTAAATTGTTTTGATTCATAGGTCCTATTTATTTATATATTTAATAAAGATTCCTAAACTCATTCCTTTTTATCAATTAACTAATCAAATGAATTCAAATTGCAACAAAGATGAATAAATTACCATATAGAGTGATAACAAAGAAATATGTGAAGAAGTATAAACTGTTAAAAAGACAGAGATCTATTAATAACAAATAAATTTTATAGTCATTGAAACTTCTAACGATGAACTTTCTTATAGAAATCTTTTAAAATTTAAATGTACATTAGCTAATAGGATCAAGAAAACTATGACTTGATAAGTTATAAGTCATTTTTGTGTTTAAATAAAATATATATCAATATAGATAAAGATCCATGCTTGTTTTCTCATTAAAGCTTCTTTTTTCATTGTTTTTTATTCATAGAATCTATATTTGTTGTTCTAAATATGATTGTTTAACTATTTTCATTGTATATACTTCATTATTACCCTTGATTTTGTTATGATTTTTTTATGATATAAGTTTCATCAATATAAATTAAAGCAAAATAGTATTCAAATTCCTTTTTATTTATCATATGAATGTTGGATTGATACTAACAATCAAATAAACAATCATTTTTATACTACTACAAGAATATTCATAAAAATAAAAAATTTAACCAAACATAATTTTAAGCTCTTTATAAGGAAATTATGAACTAATACTTAAAGTTTTTAATATTTCTAAGTATGTAAAATTTATTAATGATCAAAAACATGTATTTCTATGCGTTAGCAATAAAGATTATTATTTTGATTCAACTGAAGAGTTTATTCGCTAATTTATTAAATAATAATTTATCTTTAAAAAATGATATCTAATTGAATTCAAAATGAATGAAAAAATTATGTCAATCATCCTCTTGATTAAATCATCAAATTATGATTGAGAATGTAAACAAATGGAAAATTGAAAGTCTTTTAAATATTAAATGAGAAATTTCTTTTGATATCAACCTATCCTATGCTAAAACTTTGATAACAGAACTTCTTCAAATATATATTTAATAATTTCATTCATTTTTTATTATTCTAGAGTAATGATATATATACTTTTTAAACTATTAAAGATGAATATGTTTTAATAATTATTTCATAACTACAATTAATATTACGAAAAAGAATTTTACTGTTTATTGATTAAATTTCTGTATTTAATTTGAATACTTAATCTATATATATATAGAAAATATATTTTAATGAATTTATTTGTTGGATATATTTATTCTATCAAAAATCAAATACTTCACAAATCTAGATATTTGGCTTTGCTCCTCCAAACAAATATTCTGTTTATTTTATATCATTTTTTTAACTATCCCATAAGAATTCTTAACCCAGCATAGATTTTCCATCAATTAAATTAGAATGTATTTGTAAATCAGAATCCCCTACTATAAAACTATCAATTTCAGTTTAAGCTTTTGATTACAAATTTTTAACGAATCCACCATTTTAAAATGGATTTTGTATCATTTATTTTTTAGGATAAATTTCATTATGAGTATATGAAAAAATAAATTCTACCAAACTAATTTTGAAATAACCAAAAATGTGGTTTCCATCATTATTGGATTTAAAAATTAATAATTAAGCATTACTTTTTAGTTAGGGATTTAATTTCCAAAAATGTTTTTTATTGACAATCTCTTAACTTTTTGGCTCAAATATACTATACGCTTTAAGTTGAATTTCATTATTGTAAGACAAAAATTTACCCATATAATAATTTACTTATTTTATAATATGATCAAGATAATATTATGGTACAATCTTGGAAAAAAATAAGGGAAATTGTTTGTGAAAAATAAACAATTGGATCTATCTACTTCAATTAAGCTTGTATGTGATTGATTTTATAACTATATTTCACTTGATCTAGCGTATTGATTTGAATTAAAAAGACTGAATATTTATTTTTAAGTATTTTAAGTGATAAATGATTTTTTGAAGAATTCTTTTAATGATGATATATTTCTATTTATTTAATTGGAAAAATCTTTAATTTATTAATTGCAATTCAAATTGAATCTAAAAATATTTATAATATATTACTTATCTATTGCTAATGAGGTTTCATTATATATCTTTTTTATAATACTGTTTTATTCTTTCATTAAATCTTCATTCATTTTTTCTTTTAGATCAATTAATTTTTTTTCAATTTAATCCTGGGCATCTTGGTTTTATTATGATTCAAACTCTTAAATTAGTTCACTAATTTCTTGAATCTTAAATTGCTAAAAATAATATATTGTTCTATACTTGATATAGCTATTCTTTATGTTCTTTACACTTCTTTTTGAATTCTTCTAGATTTGCTCTACCATTCTGAATTAAATTTTTTAATAACTCACATAAAAAATGGAGTGTAGTTTCCAAATCTCCATAATATTTTTCTAATTATTCCTCAGAAAATTTATCCAAATTTTCATAAAAGGATATATATTATTCATTTATGGGTAAATGAGGTATGACAATATTTGGGTTTTCAATTATCTATTTATTTTGTTATTAATTACATCTGGTATAAATAGATAATGTCTCTACGATTATTAATTTGATCTAAACATTTTATACATCCAAAATTAACACCCTCTTTTAGAATCGTAATCCATTATATAAAGAATTTTGGATGTTTTTTGCAGGATATGGCTTTATTCATTTTTAATAAATTAATATCAAAATTATCTAATATATGTAGATTTATAAAATAGGAAATTCTATCATTAATAGTGTAAGATTTATAGAAAGATTAGAATAAAATTACAAAATTTCATCTTCTTTTAATTTGATAATTATTAAAAGACAAAATGATACATATATTTAATTAATGTTAGAAATAAATAGTTCTATAGATTTATATATATTTTTATTTCCAATTATAATTATTTTTAATTATGATTACCCAAAATACCTAAGTATTAGTTTATATTATTTGATTAATTTAAAAATGCTAATATCTGGAATGCAATTGAGGCATTCGCTAACACCTCGCTACTTTGCGGGTGTGTTTAACAAGCGTAAGCCAACAAAGAAAGATCTTGATCATTACGATGTTGTAATTATTGGGTGCAATTTGGGAGGTGTATTAAGCAGACAACTTGATAAGGTATTAGGATATTTTAATAATATATTAGGTTTCACATGGAAAATACAAGACTATGGTAGTATTGGATTAGAATATCAATTAAATAACACCAATTAGATAAATCTATGAACAATAGAAGACAGCAAAGACAGATTTCTTATTAAATGCCAAATTGTCACTTAATATGTATACAGCTCACTCAGATTAAGTTGGGTCCTAAACAATATTGCCAGAAGAGAATGCCATTATATTGAGAAATGGTAGACGTATTGGGTATGGTCAATTAGTTGTTGCAATGGGTATGATATATATATTTTAACATTCGTTTAGGTTAATAGGTGAATTACGATTCAATAAAGGGATTTGAAGAAGCTTGGTAAGATTTTGACTCTCCTGTCTTCACAAATCTTGATCATCCAAGTTGGAGATCATCTAATCATAAATATACAAGATGGCATTACAACTTCAATCATGGTGAAGCATATTTCTGCATTCCTTAATTCCCATTTAGTGGAGAAGTTGAATCTTATAATTTCTTATTGAGTCAACGTATTTGGGAATGGTAAACAGCAAATGGTCGTCAATCACCAATAAAGAGACTCACAATTATTTAACCAAATGAGAGATTTGTTTAATATAATGATGCAGGAGATTAATTCTTCAAAGAAGAAATTAAACGTAGAAATATTAATGTTGAATATGGTTTAAAATTGGTTGAAGTGAATAAATAACAAAACACTGCTACTTTTGAAGATATTAAAACTGGAAACAGATAAACAAGACCATTTAATCATTTGTATGCAGTTGCACCTACTAAACCTCATGATTAATTAGTAAAGGCTGGTCTCACTACATCAAAAGGATTATTGGATGTCAATATTAAAACATTATAGCACAATAAATATAAGAATATTTTCGGTCTTGGTGATGTGAATGATGTTCCTACAACAAATTGTTTCTGGGCAGGATTCCATCAACTTCATGTTGTTAGAAATAATATAGAAAGAAACATTGCAGGTAAATCACTAAATGCCGAATATGATGGATATAGTAAAGTTCCAATTTTGTTAGGATAAAATACTCTAACATTCTTATGTCACAAATATAACAATGAAAATGCATGGCATAACCTTTATTTCTCAAATGGAGGTTTTTTGGCTGCTTTAAGGTATATAAATTAATTATAAATGTAGATATTATAATTGGTGCAAGAATTTCAAGAAGGCATTTATAGATATCTATTTGGAAAAGAATTGGGGACCTCCTTATTATAAGATTAAGAAGAGCTTCAAATTGCCAGAAGGTGAAAGTAATGATCATGGATTTTTGGCTAAGTTATTACCAGGCAAAAAAGAGTCACATTGATATAAATACAAATAAATATATAAAATATTAAAATGTTCAATTTTATTTGAATTTATGTGTCAAACATAATAATTACTTCTAATTATAAATACATTTGAATAAAATGGAATTTACTGATATAAAAGCTTAGATTAAAATTCAACAAATATGATTTTCATTTTAAAGTGCTAGAGAGATCTAAAGAAAGAAAATCTATTTTTTATTTTTAACAAGATTAATAGATTTATGATTAAAATAATCCATTCAATTTCAGGTTATTTATAGAACAATAATAAACTTAATATAAGAACCAAAGAAATATGTATTTTAATACTACTTTAATTAGTAGGTTAAGCTTCCATTATGCATATTCACGCACAAGTTCTATTGATATTATTTTAGTATTTATTCATATAAAATTAATTAACCTTTTAAAAGTGCTAGTTCCCCAATACCTAATAGGATACATATGCACAACTCTTTTATTGATTTGAAAGAAAATAAGATTATCCTTATCAATTATTATCATAATAAAATTCTTTGGTTTTTTTATACTTTTGATAAACTTATAAGTTACTTTAGATGTTTATTCTTATTTGAGTACATCAGTATGCTATTATCAGAATAGAGATAGTAACAATCTTTATATTTATACAATTAATTTAAATATTTAATTATTATGATTTAAAAATGCTCATTGTAAAACTACGATTATTAGCATTCCCAATATAATTGAATATGAGCTTGGTGGAACTGGATTTTAACCAATTTAGATAGTGGTATCAGTTGGAGTTGGACCTGGAGTAGGATTAGGACTTGGTCCAACTGGATTTGTTGGACTTACTGCTTTTAGACCACAAACAAACTAATTATTAATTTATGTATCTTACATTATTATATGGAGAAACACATTCTTAACAAACTTTTTAAGCATCTAAATAGAATCCTGCTTAGCAATTAAGACAACCACTATTATTTGGATCAAGTTGATAACAGTTTGCATAATTGTATTTGTTTTAATCATTTAGGATTGTTTATTATAAATTAACACAACCACCATTTTACATAACATATCCAGATGAGCAAGATAAACAAACATTTCCATTTGGACCTGTACATGTTGCACAATTAGATTAACATGGATAACATGGTTTAAAGGTGTATTATTTGGCATTTAATGTAGTTTATGATTATTTCAAATAATATCCATCTTTGCATGTTGAACATGTCTATAATATTATAAAATAATAATTACATATCTTGAATCACAAGTTTTACAATCATATGGACAAGCAAAACATCTTCCAGTAATATTATCCAAATAATTTCCATCATTACAATTACTACATGAAGTACTTTATTAAGTATTTTATGTTGCTGCAATTAAAGTACATTTAGTGCATCCACTTGAACATGCAACACAAACATTATTTGTAGAATCAATCACATATCCAGATTAACATGAAGTACATTACAATCCAGAATTATCACCATTTGCAGTGCATGTCAAACAATTTTAATTTTTGCTTGTTGCACATGTTTAACAAGTGTTACCATATAATGTATATCCAGGTAAACATTATTGACAAGTACTGCCATTTGATGATGAAATAGTATAACAAGTAGCAGTTGTAGGTACAGCTACACAGGCCCCATTATATAAATAATAATTATTTTGACATTAGATTATTGTTACTTATGTAAAGGAGGCATTCTCCAATGAACCTTAACATAATAAAGCACCTGTTTATGAACAAATAGAACATAGAACTGGTTGATCATTTGCACTTTGTGTTTTATAATATCCATTCTAGCAAACTTAACATGTAGTTTAACTTGTGCTACCAGTCATCAATGTACATTGACTACAATTTGATGAACAAGTTACGCATGTTGTTCCTGATAAAGTATAAGATTTTCCTTAAAATGATGATAAACAAGTTAAACATTATGTGTTATCAGCATTACATTAAGAACAAGCAGTAATTTAACATGTTGCAATTGCTGTTGTTTATTAGATACATGAAAATGTTGAACCAGAAGTTGTTAAAGTATATCCTGATGGACACATACATGCTCCAACACTTGAATTGGGATCAGCTTAGAAATTGGGATAACATGTAGTACAAGTAGTAGCTGTAGTACATGTCTAACAATATTTAGGACATTGAACACATTAGCCTGACATATTTGATGTTAAACTAGAACTATACTTAATAAATGTTTATTAATTGTTTGTGACTGTAGATTAGTACCAGAAATATCCTGGTAAACATTAAGTACATGTGTATTATGATGGGCAAATCTAACATCCTGCTTAACATTATGAACAGAATTAATTGAATGTAGTGTAATATTTGGTGTTAGTAGTGGGAGCAGTTTAAGCACTAGTTGTCAAAACAAAGTCCCAATTGAAATAATAACCTTCTTAACATTAAGTACAAATTCCATTGCTTTAATTGATAGTTTAACATCCAGAATTTGAAATACAAATGTTTCCAACAATTGTATATCCAGCTATACATTTTGTACAAGCTAATGCAAGAAGATTTGTTGAGAATGTTAATTCACTACATCCTTATGGCATGGGAGCACAGAGTTGAGAATTATTGATAGTGGTAAGGAAATAGCCTGAATTGCATGTAATTTAAGCACATGCAGTAAGATTAGTACATGATGTACATATACCGTAGGTTATAGACATGCATGGCATACAACTTTGATTGGTCCAGAAATATCCAGAGGCACAAGTAGCAGAAGTATATCTAGTGTCTAATAAGGCAAAATTAGAAATATTAGTAACAATTGCACCTTTGGAGAAGTATTGACTACTTGGTGTAAGTGCGGTTGTTGTAGTTTAAACACTTTATATTGAAACATCTTATGGGTTAGTTCTGCAAACAAACTAAAAATATTAATAAAATAAATTACAGCATTTTAAGGATAGACACATTACATACAAACAAAATCTTAAATTTATGATGAAGTTTATTAGGTTAACCATCCACTTGTCAAATAGAAACCATAATTACAGATTTAACAACCGTTTGTTTGATTTTATTAGACTGTAGCTAAAATATTCAATTTATCAGTAGAATAACAATTTCCATTATCTTAAACACAACCACCATTTTATAAATAGAATCCATTGATACATGCTGAACATACATTTCCAGGAGAAGTACATTAACTACATCCATATTAACAAGCTAAACATTAACCATTCAAATTATAGTATCCATTTATACAACTAGAACAATTAGTAGCATCTTAACAAACCAAACAAGTTGTGTGATTATTACTATCAACAGTACAAGCTGTACATGAACTGGCTGCTTTGAAATAACCAGCTTAACAATTTGTACAATCTCCTATAGCAGGTCCACTACATGAACTACAATTGGAAATACAGGATTAACATTTTTAATTTGAATCAGAATAATATCCATCAACACATGAAGTACATGATGTTTAATTGTTTGTATTTAATGTACAACTTCCAGATTGACAATAATCACATGAGAAACAAGTTGAACCACTTTAAATCAATCCAGGCCAGCATTCAGAACAACTTTAATTATTGATAGCAGTTTAATCTGTTGGAACTAATAATTTAGCACAAGTATTATTAGATTAAGCTTAAGTACATTTGTTATTAGCTAAGAAGTATAATGTTTTGCATTATGTATATACAATGTTACCAGAAACATTTGCATCATAATGACATCTTAAAGCATTGGGTTCACCAGCTGAATCACATTTAGCACATTATCCTTATGATGTTACATAGTAAAGATCTTAACATAAAGAACATGAGGCAGTATTATTTTGTGTATTATATGAACAATTTGATGTAGATTAACAATTAGAAGGACATTATCTACATGTACCACCTTATAAAATTGACATAGGTGTAACTGAAGTACAACTTATACAATTGCTATTAGCATCACAAGCAGAACAAGTTGATGGAAATCCAGTACATGTTACACATGATCCATTGACTGCATAATTACCATCAGAACATTTAGTACATGTATTAGAATTACTACATGTTAAACAGTTGTTAATAGTATTACATTCACCACATGTTTTATTTTATGTATCAAAGTATTAGGTAGTAGAACATGATAAACATGTATTAGAATTGGTTAAATTATAGGTTGTCAAACATACAGAACAAGTTGTTGTATCACTACATTTTTAACATCCAGATATACATTAAGTACATGTAGTTCCAGTCAAATAATAACCATCTATGCATTCTGTGCATTATTTACTATAATAATTAATGAAATATATAATTACAGGAAATTACAACTTTTACATGAAGCATCAGCATTACAAGTTTTACATTAATTAATATTTTAGAAATAGAGAGGATAATTAGTTGAAGTCCAAGTAGATTCAGTTGTATCAAAATATTCACTGGGTGTAAATTCAGCCATTACATTATAGTATCCATTAGCACATTTAGTACATACACCAGTATTTAAATCAAAAGTTAAGCAATTATTATTAGTAACACATATTCCACCTATTATATAAAATATAAACTATACCAATTAATGTTGTACCAGAATTAGCAACACATTAGTAACATACTATGCTTGTTCCATCTGCTGCTAAACCACCTCTAAAACAATTACTGTCTGGAATTGTAATGCATGATCTATATTATATTAAATTAAATATACTATCCAACTTAGTAATAACCATCATTGCAAGTAAGAGTATCACATCCATTATATGTTTTGCATGTACACTTTCCTCCTGTCACTGTTAAGCAAGCCATACAGATCTAATCATTGAAAAAAAAGCCTATTGTATATCCTTTACTATTACCTGTGTCACAAAGATATAAAGGTTAATTGTCTGTTTATAATGTTGTAGTTACTCCTCCAGGTTAATTAGTTTAACCACTCACTTCGAAATAACCTAAAATTAACAGAATGTATAAAAATGTCTAGACTTTCATTGTTTTTATACAATATAATTATTAATAACTAAAATCTTTAATTTTCATACTATATATATTAAAGAATTAACCCCCTCTGTCTAATTATCTCTTACGAATCATTACAGAATTTAATCTCTTCTTCTATCTTCCAAGACTATCCTATCATATCAATACTTAGTTCCATCTTATTTATCTCTTAATAGCTCCTTCATATATAGAATCTAATGCTTTTGTACTATTTTACTTATTTAAACCTAATTCCATATTTTTGTTTTTCTCAACTTTCCTTAATTAGAAACATTAATACTATTATATATTCTAATATTTATCACTGACATTTGACATATTAACAATAAACTAAGTAAATTAATAAGAGGTAATTATTAAGAAAATATATAACAAACAACATATGCAATAGGATTTTATTAATTACTAATTATTTCAATTAATTTAATTTATATTTCCTTCTGCAAAACCTCAGATCTTTGTTTAATCTTGGAATCTTAATGCTCTTCGATATGAATAATTTTCTGTTGATCTCACTCGCTTAACTAAATTAGATTTCCTATGATAAACCACTCCCTTTGAAAGAATATTTGATACTATTTATTATTCTTCTTCATTCAAAGATGTTTAAACATTATGAAACTAAAATTACTATTGTTTTTATGGACTCTATCTTCTATATCTAACTTAAGTTGATTTAGAATGATGTAAACCAGGTAAATGTTTCTCCAAAAATTAAGGAAGATTTGGTAAATTCTTTTCAATTATCCTTGATTCATTTATCACTTATCTATATGCTTAATTTTAATATAGACTTTAAGTCTAGACCTTCCCCAATAAAGATCTATCTTTAGCTCTAGTAAAAAAACTTCTATCTACATATTTTTCATGGGCACTCAAATTTTGTGATCGTTCTCCAATAGATTTCTTTTAAAACTTCTTTGTTGACTCCTATGAAAGTGTCTTAAATCTTCCTTACAAATTTTAAAAAAATTATAACATATCAGCATTTTAGTATTAATTCATTTTGGATATTATCTACAATTATTGTTGTCTTTGTGAATTAATGGCTACTTGTAATTAAGAATTCTATTCATAAATATTTAATAACATACTCTTAAATCTTAGTATTTACATTAAATTTATATAAACTCCTACACATACAATTAACTTGTAGGTTAAGTATAGATTTTCTTCATATATAATTCTATTGGTATTATAAATAGAATTGTATCTGAACTTGAACTAACACATGAAAATCTATGCTTCTATTCTTGACTATGAACATCTTCTAAACCCAAGAATTAATGATTACTCAATGTTGCAATCTTCCTATGCAAACTCTTACCTCTCTATTTCATATAAGGTGAAATTGTCCTTACTTCTAAATCTTCCCTCTCTTCCACAAATACTAATTATAACTTAAATATAATATATCACTATTTATACATCTACTGCTCCTTCCTTTATTAAATAGATCTTATTTACAATATCACCTGATAAATATACAATATCTCCCATTCTATAACTTCTTTATTCTAACATTTTGTAAATTGAATAGATTGAATTCACATTCCAACCTTCAAAAATTTCTAAATTAGCAAAAAAACCCATTTCCTTCACAGATGATTTCTCTTAACCTATTCTCACTACATCTTTAAAGTATTATCTTCTTATAAATGCAAAATGACATGGTTATAATGCTACAGCTGTAAAATCTCTTGGTCTATTATGTATTAAAGACATTTCACCAAATGATTAACCAGGTAATAAGATTTTAATTAAAACTAAATCAGATTATTAAGATTATATTTTATTTATTTAATAATCCTTAAATTTATTGTTGTTAACAGCTTATCTAAACCTTAATTTAACCATCTCTAATAATTTAGTTGATGATGCTTTATCTTCCACAACATTAGGTTTAACGTATATTCCAACTTATCCTTAAAGAATTATATAAAATTTATCTCCAACTGAATCTATATTAATAATAGATGTGTTTTATGTTGCATATTCATGTTCAAAATAATAACTAAAATTTAGATCATTTTGATCAGCAAAATATTTTTAGAAAAACTCAATCTTTCTCACCATCCTCTCAATTGGATATAAATCATCTTCACTTCTTTTTTCAAATGGTTTCTTTAATTATCTAATTAATTCCTAGAGAATTTTAAATTGTTACATCCTCCATCTTATATATTTATATATAATAATTTGTAATAATAAAATCAATTATTATATTTTTATTATATAATAAATATAGAATTGTAGTATTGTAAAACTCTTTAAAAATTTTAATGAAGTCAATTTAATTATCAAAAAGTATAAATTAACTTTAAACTATTCATAATAGTTACTAATAAATTATAAATAATATATTAATAACTTATTAATTAGTTACTTATTAATAATTACTTAATTTCTTATTTCTTTTTATTAATTTATAATGATATTTCTCTATTTCTTATAATTCTAAGAATTTTCTCAATTTCATTAGAATCTATTTTTGTTATAATTCCCCATTTAAATTTTGATAGAATTTTATTATATCATTTATGATTAACTTTGATTAGAAATTTTTGTAGATTTTATTGAAATATTTATTTGGATTAGAATAAACAATGTAGTTTATTCATTTATTAATAATAATATAAAAATTGATTATAATAGTCATTATTCATAATTACTTTTTGTTCCGAACAAAACTGAAACCACGTATCTTCTTAGCAATACTAAATTCTGAATTCATTAATGATACATCCTAACTAGCTATTGAAATTGATGATTAAATAAGTGATTCATTTTGTGAAAAAAGCTATGATTAAAATTTACTAATTTTCCATTACTCAACTACAAAAGAAAAACCTCTTCTTATTCTTTATGTAGCCATGGATATTGATTTCTATGTTTTTGGTTTCTTCAATTAGAAGCTAAATCCTCTTATTTGTTTAGTGTTGCTTAATATTGTAGAGTTTACCATTTATGTTATTTACAAATTATTAAAATTAATAACAACTTCGTTAACTATAAAAATTATGTTTATTTAAGTAAAAGCATATACAAATAATATTAACAAAAGAATTAGTTCAATAATATCTCCATCCATATTAGAATTACTAGCATGACCTCTGATGTCCCAAAAGTTAAGATGGTGGAGAAACAAATGAGGATCTTCTACTATACACATTCTAATCAACTTAATAGTTTCGTCCTATAGCAGGTCCTTCTGGTATTATTGTGTCTGCCTTCTAGACATTGTAATATGGTGTAATATCATGAGTTAGATTGCTTTTAACTTAACCTAATAGTTTCTCTTCATATTTTAATAATTATCGTATGAATCCAGGATTTGGACATACTAATGGTCTAACACTTTTTAAGTATATCAATGCTTCTTGTAAGGTCCAATCTTGAGAATACATAAGATAGGCTAACACTATAGTAGCAGATCTAGATTTTCCTGCCACACAGTGTACAAGTACGTTGTGATTGTCATTCATGTGTTTTTTGATAAATTTATTGGTTTTATCGAAATATCCAGAGATATCACATTATGGACGATCATTAACTTGTAAAACCATTTAATCAGCATCTGAATTAGCTTGAAAATCTAGTAAATAAGTTAATAGAATGTTTACTTTATTCTGTAGAGAAAGATATTATGGCTTTAACATCATAATTCTGATAATATTAAAATGCTTGAGCATCTCCAATATAGAGTTTGCTATCAAAATCAAGAACGCAATTAATGAAGTTAGTTGTATTTTGTGGATTTGAATAGACAGGATAATAGTAATTCATTTTACAAACAGATTTTAATTAATGATTTTTATTTTTCCGTTAAAAATTTATAACAAATATATATATATGATAAGTATTTTGATATCATTTTTTTTTTAAAGAATCTATAATATCATTTTTTAAAGAATCTATAACAAGCATAGCTCAATCCAATTCCTAGACCAACTCCAAAAATCTTTTTAATAAATGATGATTATGGTTTGGTTTTTAAATCTTAATCAATTAATTATTTAGAATTGATGATTTCTATTGATTATTCTAATGGTGTTTGACAAGGTGCAACAATCATTTAATCATCAATAATTTTTCTAGTGCAATAATATTCATTAATTTCACCTAAATAATTCAATTCATCCTATAAATTTATATATTTTTAATTGCTAGAAGTTTAAGATGAAAATGATGCTACTGATATATAACTTTACTTTTTCTTTTTAGTTCTCTCACAATTTAAACTTTTCTTAGATTAAAAAGGAACCTTTAAAACATGAATATCATCATCACTACTTTATTCTTCTTCTTCATAAAATCCACAATCTGTAGCAATTCTTTTTTCACATGCATAATCTAATTTATCATCAGCTTCTGTTCTAATTCTAGCTTATGGTAATATATCATTAGCCTTGAATCTCACACTACTTTAAAATCTTGGAGTACTAAATGTGCGATCACAAGTTACTAAATCATCACTTTATTCTAATTTAAGAGGTAAATTAATTTTGATTGTGTTAGATTGTTCTCTTAGATGTATCATTTATGATATTGCATTAAGTATTTCATGTTCTTATTATTCTTTACCTTAAAGTTTTGTATTTTCAATTTTTTCAATGATAGACTTAATTAATTCTAGAATAAATATTAATATAGAATTACTAATATCATCAACTTAGAGAGGGGATTGATTTGATTAATTAGAAGATTTCGATTTAACTATCATCTATCTTAAATCATATATCAATTACAAAAGCTTAATTATTTTCTTTGTATTGTTTTACATTGATTAATTGAGTTAATTGATGTTGAGTATATTTTATTCATTTTATTTTTGCAACTTAATAATAATATAATAAGTATTACTTTCTCATATGTTTATTTTAATTATTAATTGAGAGAAGATTCCCAATCGATAATTTTATGGTTTTCATTAAATTCTGATTTCACTGTTTCCAATGTGTTTTCACATATTTCAAGACCTTCTGCTAATTCTATTAATTTCTACTATTTAGTATGAGGTTTATTTAATGATTATCTTTTCTCCAACTAAATTAATTCATATTGTTTATTGTCAATTTATTAAATAATCTATTCTTCTGACTATTATAATTATGTGAATTGAGTATGATATGTAAGTATCTTTTATTAAGACTGATCAATCTTGGTTGATAAATCTAACTGCTTAATCGTACTTAAATTAAGTTTAGTTAGGAGCATTTATTTATGATTCGAGTACTATTGAATGAATTCTTTGGAAAGTGTTGTGAGATCATTGTTAATTGGTCTGTATGTAGTGTAATAATTCAGATAATCGAGAATTTGTTGAGTTAGCAAACTTGAGCTACTATTCATTTATAATAAATTAATTTTTATTCGTTTTTATTAATGGGTTTGTTAGGATCACTAGTAGTGATAATTTTGACTTCTATTGTTGGAATAGTTTGGTACTTTGTACATTTGATAGCACAAGTAAGAAATAATAGCATTATTAATAGGGTTTTACAGTTCAATATAAAGATGAATAAGACTTTGTAAGTGATTAACTTAGAGGACTCTTAGGAGTAGATGATATTTAACCAAGTTCTTATAGGCCAACAGTAGAACCATAATATTTATCAGGAATTGTAGATTTAATAGAAACATCAATCAGTGGATTGTGGTTAGCACAATTTTTATATATGATTCTTCTTTTATTTCTATTTTTTTTGGTTGTGGACATTTGGTTTATTGAATATCCATTCTCATTTATGTTCAATGCAATTATTGGTGCTATGACTGTAATGTTATTTTCATATTATGTCACTACGACAAATAGTAAATCTTTGACAAGAGCTTTGATACAAGTAAATAAATATTTACATAATATAAAGTCATAATTTTCAAAGGAAGAGAGTTTTGGATATATGTATTAATGTGGTTTTGCAATAGTAAGTTTATTGTTTAGTTTATTATTTGGAATGTATGTATTAATGTATTACTTTAATGTGGCTGTTTGGGGAGGAGATTTGAAAAAAGGAGAATATGAAAAAGTATCAATATTAATGATTGGATTTTTGATGGGAATGATATTGGGAGGATTCATATATAGAGAAGGTATATCAATGATGTGTAGATCATTAAAGACTGCTTCATTTGGTTTAATAAGAGCTGATTTAAATTTAAGTGTTGGCAATAATAATATATCATAATTAACTAGATTAGCATACATGGTATCTTAATAAGCAGGAAATGCAATTGTCAATTATTTAGACACAGGATTTGTACTTGTATTTTTATGTTGTGCCATATCATAAATTGTTATTAATAGTCCTGAAATATTGGATAGTAAAAATAAAAGTGCTTTTATTATGGGACCTATTTATTTAATATGTATTGGATATTTAGGATCTATTATATGTTATTTTTTAAAAACTATGTGTACAGATTAAGAAACAGGATCATTTGCTGCTCTTAATGTTAGATGGTAAGTAATTATAGCTGCTTTGATTTCTTTTATTATTCATGTATCATTCCCATTTTCTTTTCTTATTGATAAATTTACACTCAAAGGTGAAAATACTAAAGATATTGATTTTGAAAGTAAATCAACTATGAATGCTTGTTGGTGTTATTTGTTAGGATTGATATTTAATGTACTTCATATAAGTTTATTTGAATGGTATACATCTCATGGATGTCCTAATGTCAGAAATATGGTAAATTATTATGATCAAATAGGGATTAGCAACAAGTGATCGTATATTGCCAATGAATTTGATCTACTCAAATTATTTGGGAGATTTATTTTCTGCTATTCCAGCTATTCTAATGTTCCTATTGATATCAATAGTATATTCAATAGAAGGATTTGCTGGATTATTATTTGCAGCCTCTGGTTATATCTCTTTATTTATTATCTATGGAGTTATATTCTTTATTGGTTGTAATTCTTCTGATTCATATAAATTAACATGTTTTGCTCATTTCATATCAGATGTCTAAGGCAAAATATTTTAGATTTATTGGGAAGCTAAAAATTATATGGTATTCCTTAAAGCTACTAATGCAGGTACAACTTTCCTTATATCTATTGGAATTATTGGTGCTTAACTATATTAATATCCAACTGCATTAAATTCATTGTTTATACATAATGAAGGATTTTTAGGGTTGTTCATTGGTTTTAGTCTTATGTTTGTATGTAGAGGTATCAATATTTGGGGAATAATTAATGTTGCAAAAAGTTATGTAATAATGATATATTAATTAATAGTTCATATTCTAACCATCTGATGAAGCAGAAGGAAAACTAAATTACTTGAAAGATATAAGAATAATTGAATTTACTAAGTTCAAATATACTCATAGTATGTTGTATGTTGCTTATAATATATTGTTTATCACAATAATGATTTTAATGTTTGGATCAATTTTAGGACATGCTGGAAGTGTTGCCATTATGATTGGAGCTTCTATAGCTACATTCCTTATTTAATATACTGGATTAATAAAAGGTACCACTTTGGAAAACTCAAGAGTTTATAATGAAAGTATGATTTTGAATTAGAGTTTATAGTTTAAGATAATAGAAAAGATCATCACTATTTGATGTATGTATCTGGAGATACATATGCTTGTGCCACTGAGGAAAGCAATGCTTGTCCTTTGATTCCTTATCTTATTTATGTTTTCTGTTTACTAATTTCATGTCAAAAACATTTTGCAAAAGCAGAAAAATGAAATGATATTCAATATACAATATTCAAAATAATAATTAGTTTTCTATCATAATTTCTTATCAGTAGTTAATTCTACACATTAATATAAATCAAATAAATATCAAAATATAATAGCTCATATGAGCTGTATTGGATAAGCACAACAATAACTGAGTTAGAAACTCATCAAAACTGATGGTGATGATTCAGATACTCCAATCCCTGAATCTGACAAAGATGATCTCGGATAAATCTTGAACACTGAAGAAAGTAAGGGTAAACCCATAAAAACCCTTAGATTCAGTTTACAAAATCAAGTATGGATTTTTGATAGATCCTCAAAAAGACATTAATCCTACAAATCACCTTCTCCATTAGCTAGAAATTCTTCACCATCAATACTTAAAAATAAAAATAAACCATAAGTAACTAAATAATGAAATATATTATTAAATTAATTCATGAATAATTATAACAAAATTACCATTCCCAATTTATTGTGTTGTGAAACTTTTAAAATTTAACTGTTATTATTCTAAAATATTTAACCTTGCATCAAAATAAAATAAATGATTCTCTATTTGTTTACTTAGGCACAATCAGGTTCCTTCTGTATAGTCAAAATAACTAAACACAATCTCATTAATAAAAGATATTAAAAAAATCAAAAATACATTCTATATTCAGATGGTCGGTCACTGAATTCTTAAAAATTTTTAATATTGATGGCTTACATATCATTACTATTTTTAGGACAGATTAATAATAACCAATAAATTATTAAAATCAGTTCTAACATTTATTTATTTGTTATTAATATTTATTCAATTGAGTAACTGATAAGAAATATTTATTTAAAGTATTTTTAATATATATATATATATATTACACTTTAGTAAATTATTGTTGTGAATAATTATTGACAAATCAATAAAAAACTTAGATAGTAAAAAAAGAGAAATTATTCTTATAAATGAATTCAATACTTAATTTAAATTTACAAGAATGATAAACTCTAAATTATCTATTGTTGTTTGTTAATCAATTCTCTCTTTTTCTTCACTATTAATTTCCAAAATAAAACAAATAAATTATTATTAATAACATATTATAATCAATTACATTTTTTCACTTGCTTTCGCTACAATAATTATTATTCGATTGACATTCCTACTTACTCTTTTTTATCCTTATGTCTCTTAAATATTGTTGATGCTTAAAAGTCTGCTCTAAATTCATTCTACATTTATTATAAATTTATACCTTATGGAGTGTTAATAAACATTAAGCCAATATCTATGGTTATAACTTCTCTTTCAATTATTCCCATAACAAATCAACCTTTCCTGCTTCACTCTAAATTAATTTAATCTCCTTTTTTATCTTCTTAAACGAACTTTTTTCATATATAAATCAACACTAATACTCATGCATATTCTATTTTGCTGTTCCCAATTTTTATTTAATTTTTTCATTATTTCCAAAATCATCATTCTTTGTATCAATTTTATTAAAGACATCTCTCAAATAATCTGTGTAATTTCTACAATATATTTTAATTATATACCTAGAATTTTATGAAAAGAAATCTTTATCATCTAATATACTAAATAAATATTTTGTCTATAAAGGTAAACAAACATCTAATATTGAATATGAATATGATTTTGCAGCATCTATTCTCTCTTATTTATTAGATGATGTTCTATATTTCAATGCATCCAACAATATTTCAATTTCTGTTGCATCTTTACCTTAATTAATGCAATCTTCTAATCTCTCAAATAATTTCTATTATTATTCTAAGAATTATGAAAACTATCCATTATTTATTTTATAATATTACTTTATCTTATTATTTATTGTAATTTTCAATTGATTTTGATAAATTATTACATTATTCTCTAAGTTTGTCATTTTCATCCTATAACTCTTAAACTCTTGTCTCTAATAACTCAAAATATATTTTTTTTCTTGCTCTTGAATTTCTGGCTGATTCTCTGTTCTTCACTTATTTTAAACGACTAGGATCCATATTTCCATCATTAATAGAATCTGGATTTTCTGATGATGACTAATCACTATGTTCCTAATTCATTTATAATTGCTATTCATTTTTTCTTTCCAATTTCTATTAACTCCTTCTAAAAAATGAATCAAAATATTTCAATACGATTGTCTAGCTTTTGTTGTTATCAATAATTGCCCTTTATTTTCTTTTTTCACTAAATTTTAAATTTTATTTGTGTATGTACTCTTAGTTTAACCTAGATGCAAAATAATCTAAGATTGCAATGAATCTTTTAAATTTTTTTATTCTTCTTTTGTATATTTTTCTATATTTAAACAAAAAATTTACTTGATCTTCTTCTTCTTTGATCATTTTGACTTGCATCTATAGAGTTATCACCATCACTTCCACTTCTAGGTTAGGCTTCAATAGAGCTATCATTCTTTATTTTAAGCCTATCCATTTTAATTTCTTCAAATTGCATCTAATTGGGTACTAAATTACTAATCCCATTGTCATCTTCTTCAAAAATTTAGATTTTTGGAAATTGTTATCGTTTTTATTACTAATTGTTCAAAAATGAATCTGGTATTCCAGAAAAATCAATTTAATTAGCATTCACATCATATGATCTATATAAAATATCTAATTGAATTACTCATTGAAATAATATTGCTCACTTATTATAGGATCACACATCAATTATTAGTTTAAAAATATATATATATATCATTAATCAATTATTTTTTTTTACATATTATCTTAAATTTGCAGGCCGTTAACAGTTTGAATCATTTTAACTCTATGAATTATTTTCAAATTGTTATACTTATGAGTTTTGTTTGAAATATTTACAATCACTAAATAAATTACTGCTATCGAAAACTGGTCTATGTTAATTCTATAATTTTTCTATCTATACTCTTACTTAATAAATTATCAAAAGTAAAGATCTTAATTAAAATGGTTCTAAACTCTCATAAATAGACTTCCAAATTGAATCCACTTTTGATGTTTCATTAATTATCGTCTTTACTGAAGTATAAAGATTATTTATACAACTAAATTAATGAAAATTAATGATTACCTTGTGATACTTTTTTTCACACAATTTAATTTCTCTTTGTGCTTTCTTATCTTCTTAAATTACTCTTACTTAATATCCATTAATTAAAATGTTTCTTTAGTCCATTCAAGAAAAGATCTAATATTTAATTTGAAAATAATACCCTTAAAAATCAGATAATAAATCTTTATTTTGATCATAACTATAAACAATATATTTTAATTCTATGGGTAACAAAATCTCTAATAGATTCTCTATATATTAATTTCCAACTGTTTTCTTTTCAGTATTTAATTAACATTCTTTTAATTATTCTAATACAAATTTAGTTGTTTCTTAATCTTCATCTTTGATTTAACAAATCTCTAATTACTCTATTAATTTTTTCTACAACTCCAATTTGTATTAATACTATAATATTTTTTAAATTATTACATCTTCTTAACATTCTCTATATTACTATATTTATTTCGCCTAATTTTAACAAAGTTCATTCAATCTATCAATTTCATCTTGTAAATCCTTTACTTTATTTTCCAACAATTCAAAATAAAGCCTCTTTCTAGCTCTAGAATTTCGAGCTGCAACTCTATTCCTTGCTAATCTGTCCTCAGACATTTCACCTCCTGATTACAAAGAACTCTTTTATTCTGATTAATCTGAAGTTTCAATAAGTTATTAAGATGATTTTCTTTTAATCTTCTATTAACTCTTCCTTTCATATTAAATATAATTAATATTACGAAATTCGATTAGATTTTGGGTTAGTTAAAATCTTTTTATCAACTAATTAACTGATTTTGCTTGTGTAGAGACTTTTAGCATAATGTACATTAAAAAGTTCCTAGTTACTCTCCACAATTTTGTTGCTTAACTATTGTCTAGTTCTAGGCCTTTTTAAATATTGCTTGTTCAAAGAATTATTATCATCAGTGTGGCTCCAAGATGTTGCTCTTCCATCACTGTGAACAGATTAAATTTGCAGTTTTTCAAAACCTAAATCTTCTAAAATTGCTTCCCCATTATCAAAAGGTTGGTCTGATTAGGGTAAATCAGAACAAGAATCCTCGAATACTCTAATCACAGGAAGCTCCTTCCTATTTTAATGAGAAGATTAAAAATATTTCTCCACATCTCCTATCAACTCATTTTCTTAGTTAACTATAGCATATTAAGAATTAAGAACCTAAAATATGTGGTTTTTCTGATTCCATCTCAAGATGTTTATCCATAATATTATTAATAATATATAATCTTTTATTTATGATTTTGGCAACACTTTTATATACAATTAATTAAAATTCATTCTGTATTTACATGATATTTCACTTTTTTAAGTGTAAACTTTACTTCTATTTTTACATTATTAGAAAAGTAGATTATTTAAACATTTTATAGAAATTGATCTAATATTTATGATTATTCAATACTATAAAGTTCACATCTATATTATACTAGATATTCTCTATAATTTGATAATTTAGCTGTGATGGGAACAAAATACTGTTTCAGTTTAAATTAAAGAGAAATAAACAATAACTTTGAGTTATCCTTAAACTTTTTAATAGTACATCTTTAATCTTATAGTTTATTCAAAGCATCTTGGAGTATTAAAAATGTCCAATTAACAAACTTGAGGTAATCAAATTGAGTTAATTCTATAATTTCCTTTATTTCACATTCTAATGTTAAATAAAGGAAATTTCATTTAAGTTTAAAAAGAACTTATTGTCCTTTATACATTTAAGATATATCAGAAGATAATATCATTAATAATATTATTTGTTAAAATATTAATTTAATTATGTTAAATTCATTATTATTATTAAGTTCATTAAAAATTAAATAAAAATAACAAGCCTGTTATGGATAAAAAGAAAGTTATATAATCAAACAAAATGGAAATTTAAATAGATTATTTATTAAAAGATTACTATTGAGCAATTACAAAGAGTATATGAATGAAATGCTAGTATTTTTTCATTAGTTAAACAATACTTCATTTAATTCTAATACTGCAATCATTTATAGATATAAATAAAATCAAAAAAATAATATTTATTTCATTCTAATAATCAGTTTAAAGAAAGCATTGACGAAATTTAAAGTAATTCCATACTAAACTATAAAAGATTAGAATGGTCTTTTGACATAGAGCTTAAATCCTTAAATATATAGAGCACCAACTTCATAGAATAAGAAAGATTGAATAAGAGATAACCAATTCTTTATTCATGTTTAAACTTTTCAGAACTTTTTAAATTAAGGACTAGGTAATCAATTGAAAAATCTTAATGAAAAAGAATATTGTATTTTTTGAGAATACTGATTTAATGTTATTATTAATTAAATTATAATGGGAGTATGTTAAACAACTAAAATGAAGGATGGTCAATAAACTAAGAAAATTGACATCTCTTAAAATGCAAGTTAAGTGATATTGGATTAATATCCTATGCCAAAACCTAAATTAGGTATAGGATTGCCATGCATGATTAAATTCTTTGATCAGGTTAAAATCATTGAAGTAACTGAATCAATGGCCTATAATTTTATTGTTAGATTAGGGGTCAATTAGCAAAAGTAAGTTTCAAAAGACTAGGATTATTAATGTGTATATTTATACTCTGAAAAAGCGAATATTGATTTTTTTGAATGTGGATTCACACCAATTGATGTTAGCAGACCTGATAAAATAATTGAAGATAAAAAGCAATATAAATTTCTATTTGACTTTAAAAATCTCTGGGTGTTTAGAGACTATGGAGAGGAAGTAGAATAAGTATTAAATATATTCAAGGAAATTAATGTGAAGGTCAAATAAATATATCTCTTCACTAAACCTCTGAATCATTTTATTGATCATTATCAAATGCTTGGCTAAATAAGCATCTTAAATAGTTACTATCCGTTATTATTATTTGATTACAAAGATGTCTCTGATGCAACCAAAAGAGGAGATGATACTTTCAGAATCTACTTACATAGCTAAGAAGCTTTTGAATTACTAATACAATAAAACAAAATCAGTCTTTATAATAGAAACTTATAAATTAGAAATCTTATCTTCCTTTATCAAATTGTAAATTTTAGTGAAAAATTAGAAGAAAATTAATACAAAGTAGCATGTTACAATTTAACATAATAACCTTCTGGATAAATAAACAAATAAAAATTAATTAAGGAATTGATACCATAATTGCAAAATTTATAATAAATGGGTAGTAATGTTGTTTTAATCTATTCGAGTAAAGAACCATAAGGAATAAAAACTGCTAGATTGGCTATTGAATAATATTTGGCAAGAGGATTGTTAATATATCCCGAAGACATCAAAAAATATAATGAATAATTAAAATCACTTTAAATTACACCTGAATAATTAATCTAATAACAAAAATAGCAAGACAATAATAAGATAAATTAATAACAATAAGAAATAATACAACTGAGTAGAGAATAAGAAATTATCAATATCTACGAAAGTTGGTTCAAAAAAATTAAATCTCAAATATTATTATAGAGCTCCCATAATCTTTTATTAAAATTAATAACAAACATTACCGAATACCCTAATGAGGAGAAATTTAGAACTATTTAAAAATCAAATAAGACTATGAATCTCAACATACTATAATATGAAGAAGGATAATAGATTTTATAATTAATTGGATTTAGGGAAGGTGAAACAGATTACAAAAACATATTTGAAGTAGGTTAATTAAAATTGGCAAGAGCTGATATTGAAATTGCTTGGAAAAACAATTAGAAAAATCTTTAAAATGAATTAATCAATAAACAATGATATATATTATTAATATTATAATATAATTTAATTAAATATATAAATTTTTTTAATCTCCTAATGTTAAAATCTATTACTTTAATATTTTTCAAATAAAAATAATTTACTAATGAATGAAGATTAGACAAAGATAGAGATCGAAGAAGATTCAAATAGTCTTGTCCCTCTCTTATTGATTTTGCTAGTATTAATTATCTTATTCATTTAACGCTGGTCTAAGAAACCTTAAATATCAAAATAATACTTAGTTGAAAATGATGAACATGAATTACAGGAAAATTTGTTAAATAAAGATCAATAAAAAAAATAAGATAATTAGTGTTAAAAAAATTATTATTCCGTATTCAATGAAAAATAGAATAATTAGAATGAAATTTTTCTAAAATTTAAAGAACTTTAAGAATAAATAAAAGTTTAATATAAACCTTAAATTTATAACTAAATTTAGAAACCCTAGTAATTAATTTGCAATAATTCAATAAATAAAATAAAAGAAATTTATTAAAACTCTTCTTAATTACGTTTTGTAGAAGATGAATTCAAATATTATATAAGACGATTTTAGGAGAAATCAGATCTAAAAAGAAATTATGGCCTTACATTTTAAGCAAGTTCAAAGTTATACGAATATTGTAATGCATTTAGAGAAGTTAGAGGAGATGGAAATTGTTTTTATACTGCTTTTGGATATTAATTCTTATGTATTTTATTATTTGAATATACATTTGATTAATTTTAAGAATTCATAGATAAAATTAGAAAAAGTGATTTACCTATGAAAATATTTGTTACTGACAAAGATTTGAAGATTGATGATAAATAATTAGAAAAATAACTATTAGAAGAATTTTTAAATAGATTAACTAAATTAAAATAAATTGATGATATAACTTAAAGATAAGATTCATTTGATACTTAATTTGCTGCTTATGAAAAATAATCAGAAGAAATTGATGGTTGTTTATATGGACTATCGACAATATTTTTTAGAAATTATTCTAATTACATTGTTGATTTGAGTATTAATAAAGATGCAGTTTATGATAGAGAAAATTTGTTGAAATGGGAAGAAGAATGCAATAGCAATGAAGTTGTTATTGCTGAATTAGCTAAGCAATTAAATGTGTAATTATTTATTATTTATTATAAGATTCGTTTAGTTAATATTTTTTGAAGATAAGAACAATTTTGTAGTTAGAGAATATGAAAAAGACAAGCAACATAAAATTATATTATTAATAAGGCCTGGACATTATAATATTGGATATTATTAATAAAAAAATATCATAGATTAGTGTCTAGAATTAGTATAAAAACTAAATGGGATATTTAAAAATAGTAGTGAGTAAGTTGATGATTATTAAAAAGATATTGTATAAGAATTAACTAAAAAGATAACAGATTTATTTGATGAAATTTAAATTTTGATAAAAAATTAAACCTTGAAGGAATGTGATGCTTTTAAGTTATTAAGGTTTTAATTGTAAAGTCAATATTGATTTTTTTAATTATTTTTTTATTCCCATTTATAATCAATCCTCACTTATACTTAGTATGATTTTTTTGAGCAAAACAATATAAATGATAATCTACCATTTTTTCAATGCAAATCATTATCTTAAACTTTTCAAAAGTTTTTAGGTTTTTTAAATGAAAGCCCTGCTTTATTCATCATAAAATCTTAATTATTTTCACTAATATAATAAAATAATAGATAAAATAATTTGAAAATCCATTTATATGGATAACGGAATACATACACATAAATAAAAAAATCTCAATTACTTTCGAAAAATTATATAAAAATAATAAATAATATTGAAATAATTTCCTACCAATAACCATCAAATTTTTCTCTAAATCATATACCTTAAAAAAATATTTCTTTTGTAAATTATAAAATCATGAATATTTCAAATATTAATAAGTTGATTACCTACCAGATCCAAATTGTCTAATTTGTTTTTATAAGTTTCACATAATTTGAAATTGATAATTTAATTAGTTATAAATTTCTTTATTTATTTCTTATAGAATTAAGTTAAATGGAATTTTATTGGTGGATTATCATAGCTATAGCAATTATAATAATCGTGATTCTTGGTATTATTATAAAATAAAAATGTGTTGCAAGCAAGCTTTCAGAAAGTAATAAAGAATCCAATAAAGAATAGTTAATAAATAAGTAAGGTGAAATGAAAATTATTAGGGATGATTAAAAAATTAATTCATTGAACAATAATCCTTTCAATCAAAGCTTATAAAAATAAGTTTTAGAAAATCCTCCTTACGTTTAAGTAGAACCACCCAAGATTTAAAATAATAGAAATGCAGGAAAAGAATAATCGAGTCAATACTAAAATAATTAACCTTAAGATGATTATACTAAAATTCCATCAAATAATCCTTAAAATGTTAATTATAAAAAGAATGAAAATTAAGTAATAGTGCAATAAGAAAAGTAAAATTAGCAAGAAATATATAACAAATTAATGCTCTCCAAAAACTAGGAAAATAAGTAAGATCAGAAGCCATAATATACCAATATTTAAGTGAATAATACAAAAAAAGATATCTAAGATAACTGTTTTTAACCCCTAAATAAATTAAGTAATGAGAATGTCGAATTAAAAAATAATCAAGATGATTAGTTAATTTCCTAAAAATAGAACATTTAAAAAGAGCATTAATATGATCTATTAAATTATAATTAATAAAGATCAAATTAAGACTTTGAATAATAAAAAAATAATAAAGTAAATGGTTTGCAGATTAATCAAAATAATTAAGTTAAAGATATATTAATAGATATTCCAGAATCTTTAATTGATCCACCTCAAGTAATACATAAATCTGGTAAAAATGAGATTGATGGATAAACAATTTAATTAAGTAATATTGGCTATTCTAAACCTGAAAGTGAAATTGAAAATAATAATGTAAATGGTTAGCAGATTAATCAAAATAATTAAGTTAAAGATATATTAATAGATATTCCAGAATCTTTAATTGATCCACCTCAAGTAATACATAAATCTGGTAAAAATGAGATTGATGGATAAACAATTTAATTAAGTAATATTGGCTATTCTAAACCTGAAAGTGAAATTGAAAATAATAATGTAAATGGTTAGCAGATTAATCAAAATAATTAAGTTAAAGATATATTAATAGATATTCCAGAATCTTTAATTGATCCACCTCAAGTAATACATAAATCTGGTAAAAATGAGATTGATGGATAAACAATTTAATTAAGTAATATTGGCTATTCTAAACCTGAAAGTGAAATTGAAAATAATAATGTAAATGGTTAGCAGATTAATCAAAATAATTAAGTTAAAGATATATTAATAGATATTCCAGAATCTTTAATTGATCCACCTCAAGTAATACATAAATCTGGTAAAAATGAGATTGATGGATAAACAATTTAATTAAGTAATATTGGCTATTCTAAACCTGAAAGTGAAATTGAAAATAATAATGTAAATGGTTAGCAGATTAATCAAAATAATTAAGTTAAAGATATATTAATAGATATTCCAGAATCTTTAATTGATCCACCTCAAGTAATACATAAATCTGGTAAAAATGAGATTGATGGATAAACAATTTAATTAAGTAATATTGGCTATTCTAAACCTGAAAGTGAAATTGAAAATAATAATGTAAATGGTTAGCAGATTAATCAAAATAATTAAGTTAAAGATATATTAATAGATATTCCAGAATCTTTAATTGATCCACCTCAAGTAATACCTACAACTGATAATATTAATGATGGATTATTACTTCTAAAAAATATAATAGATGAAACTTCTAATAAAAGATAAATGGCAGATGAATTAAGATATTATATAAGACGATTTTAGGATAAATCAGATCTAAAAAAAAATTATGGCCTTACATTTTAAGCAAGTTCAAAGTTATACGAATATTGTAATGCATTTAGAGAAGTTAGAGGAGATGGAAATTGTTTTTATACTGCTTTTGGATATTAATTTTTATGTATTTTATTATTTGAATATACATTTGATTAATTTTAAGAATTCATAGATAAAATTAGAAAAAGTGATTAACCTATGAAAATATTTGTTACTGACAAAGATTTGAAGATTGATGATAAATAATTAGAAAAAAAACTATTAGAAGAATTTTTAAGTAGATTAACTAAATTAAAATAAATTGATGATATAACTTAAAGATAAGAATAATTTAATACTTAATTTGCTGCTTATGAAAAATAATCAGAAGAAATTGATGGTTATTTATATGGACTATCAACCATATTTTTTAGAAATTATTCTAATTACATTGTTGATTTGAGTATTAATAAAGATGCAGTTTATGATAGAGAAAATTTGTTGAAATGGGAAGAAGAATGCAATAGCAATGAAGTTGTTATTGCTGAATTAGCTAAGCAATTAAATGTGTAATTATTTATTATTTATTATAAGATTCGTTTAGTTAATATTTTTTAAAGATAAAGACAATTTTGTAGTTAGAGAATATGAAAAAGACAAGCAACATAAAATTATATTATTAATAAAGCCTGGACATTATAATATTGGCTATTTTAAACCAGAAAACAAAAAGTGAAAAAAACAAAAATAAGATGATTTAATTTGAGTTTATAAATATATATCAAAATTATTTTTATCTTTTTGGACCTTCATTTTCAAGATAGTATATTTAAAATCCTTCTTATTATACAAATATTTTTATTTACATTAACTTTATCATTTCTCGTAAGCTTTAAGAAAAATATTTAAAATCTATTGCAGTATTAAAAATAATATACGTTTATTTTTTCAGTTTTTCATGCATTTCAATCCGTTTTACTTTAAGGGTTTAATAAATTTTTTAATATTAATTATAAAGAAGAATTTTATTTAAAAAGCAAATTCAACGCAAATTAGTTTCTTTAACTGGCATTGAATTTGAATATTAATTGGAATTAAAGAATTAACAAGAAAATTGATAGTGGAAAAATTTTTAATTTTTCATATAAACTAGACTTTTTCTTTAAACTAAATGGTTGATTATAATTATTATACTATTCTGTGATAAATTAAACTAGTTTTTGCAAATATATATTGCTATAAACCCCATAAAAATGTAAATTTAATAAATAGATTTACTCAAATTTGCATTTCTAAATTATTTTTCTTACTGAAAATTTTTTATTCTTCTTATTTTCTTTATTTTGAAAATTTTAATTTCCTTGTATCTC